TATACTCACTGCCTTGGCTGCCCCTCTGCCTGATCTTGTCAAACTCCGCCTCGAAGATGTGATCTTCGGTCATCTGACTGAAGGGCTGCTCCTCCTCGAACGGGTTCCAGGCCTCCACGCGCTTCTCCACCGCCGCTCCTTGCCCCGGTTTGATGAGTTCGCTGATGGAAACCGCTGCCTGAGTATTTGCAGCCGCATAGATCCCTGGATTTGAGGTGGCACTGGCCAGGGTTTGGGGTCCATCGCCCATGGCAGCCAAGTTATTGTTAAACGGGGCCAGAAACTGACTGGTTTCATTGGCAAACGTTCTAAAGCGCACAACAGAATTGAATTCGATGAGTGATTGGAGGGATCAGTGAGTAAAATAATAAGAAAAAGAGTTCAAGGATAATAGCAAGCATGAGAAGAAAAAATTAACAAGAAAGCTAGTAATCTTAAGGCTACATAGTTTCTATTGGCTCTGCGGCTCATCGGCCTCGTCCTGGTCACTTGTAGCTCTTAAGGACACAACCACACACAGAGAGAGAAAGAGACAAGCAGAAGGTGAGTGAGAGAGCAAGAAAAGAGCAGAACACATAACACATACAGATTGTGCAGGAAAGCAATCCAAAAGGTACATCTTCCATTAAGGCTTTGATCTTCAAACTTACTTATTGAACGCCGAGGTGTCGCTGACATTGCGCCTGTGACCTCCACCGCCGCTGGGCTTCGGAGGCGTTAGCATGTTCTTCGTGGGCGTGCCACCAGGTACAGCCAAATCCTGAGGCGCCTCCTCCTTGCTGGCGTCCTCGGTTGCTGGCATATTGGCTGCTGGAACTGCAGCCGTGGCTGGCTCATTGAAGGGATCTGGGTAGCCACTGGATTCAAAGAGATTGCTGGCCGCGGCCACAGGAGCTGGCGGAACAGCTGCCTGGGCCTGCGGAGCTGGAAGAGGAGGAACTGCTGCCGGCATGGCTGGAAAGTTGGCCTGGAACTGCTCCACCACGGGTTGAGCCTGAGTCTGTGGTTGTGGGGAGGTGATATTCTGCCGGGGCGAGGGACTGGGCGGCAGTCCAAGACCCAAGGAGTTGCCGCCGTGCACCGAGGATGATCCTTTGGGACGGGAGCGTGGAGCCACACTGGTACCTGCCTCCACAATGGACACGTTCTGAGGCTTGGCAGCCTTGGCGGCGGCAGCACTGATGCGCTTGGCCTCCGATTCGAAGGGCGGCACCTGGAGCAGGTCAAAGTTTGGAATGGGTGTCTTCTGCAAAAGAAAATGAGGCTATTTTACAGAAAAATCTAACAAGGAGTGATCTCCACTTACATGCAGATTCTGAACAGGATTATCCTTGCCGGCCAGGCGGAAGGCCGCCTCGCACACCTGCCAGATATTGGGCCTCCGCTCCATGTCCGTGTCCAGCATGTACTTGATCAGCTGGTGCATGCCCTTCGAGTACTTGGAGTTGTCCGGAATGGAGAACTGCCCGTTTTGGATGGCCAGGGTACTCTCGCCAAAGGGCAGTGAGAAGAAGCACAGTTTGTACAGCATGCAGCCCAGTGCCCAGATGTCCGCCTTGGTGGTTATGCTCTTCCCTCCATACAGATCAACCATTTCGGGTGCTCGGTACGACAGTGTGGTGTACTTCTGGATCTCCTCCTCCACCACGGTCACGCCATGCTGCTGCGGGTTCAGCGTCTTGGCTGTCGCCGATCCAAAGTCGCACAGCACAAAGTTGCCAGCGTCCGTCTGCAGGATGTTCTCCACCTTCAGGTCCCGGTGGATGATGGGTGTCTGGCAGTAGTGGAGCCGCGAGACAGCCTCGGCAATATCACAGAAGATGGTCAGCACCTCGGGCTCCGTAAAGCCAACTTGTAATCTAAAAGATATGAACTTTAGAAGGAAATCTTTTTATAGAATATTGGAATTACCTTGCATTCATCATGGCCAGCATGTGATGCTTGCAGTAGGGCATTAGGAGGAGCACCTCGCACACTCCATTGCCCGTGGGTGTGATGCTGGAGTCCACATAGCCGATTATGTTCTTGTGCCCGCTAAGGTTGCTCTGTGGGAGTTCCAAAAAGAAATTAGTTTGGTTTGTTTGGATGGCTCTATAAGGGGCCAGATACCTACCGCAATCTGGATCTCCCGCTTGGCCACATTCAGATCGTGCTCATTGTTGACGTACATGCGTTTCAGGGCGTACTTGGTGGCCGAGGAATTGCCGCCGCCATTACCTCTGGCCAGGAAAACCATGGCGAAGCCACCTGCGTGAAGGGAGATAACAAAAGGGGGTGTTAGTAGGGGCGGTCTAGACATCCAAAACATCTGTCAGCTGTAAATGGTAAACAAAATATAAACGGAAGAGGGCAGGGACTACCTAACACGACTATAATATATCCTTTACTATATAAATTATATAGTATATATATCTCTCTACTACTAGTACTGACATGCCTTTAGCGAAACCCCCCCACTACTGGGTATCATTCCAGTTTAAGCGATAGGCAGTTACTGTCTGGCCCTGGAACGGTTTACACATGTTCCACCCGTCGTCAGACAATTTGCATGAGTTTTATTCCATTTTATTGCACATAGAATTCAAGTAGAGCCCCCCCTCGTAACGGCACCTGTCGCTCTGCGCTCTGCGCCACTTCAAAATGTACGATAAAAAGGCAACGCAATACACAAACTAAACTATTGAAGGTCACGTACAGAAATAACAACAATAACATGCGACAATAACAATACTTAGAGCTCTGAGATCTCCGAGTGGAGGAGAGATGGGGTTTGGGGTTTGGGGCTTGGAGGCACCCAAGTATGCAGAGAAAAAAAATAAGAGTCAATCATAAAATCTAATAAAACTCTGAATTTTTATATTAAGTCAATGTCTTATATATTAATGCCCTTTAATATTTATTAAATTAATTTCTCCTTGTTTAAAAAAAAGTGTAAAATGGATAATGCTCGAGTTTGTGAAATTACGGCGTCAAATGTTAATAAATGGCGAAGGTTGGCAACCCACTGGGAGCTAAGCAACAAATCAACTTTGGAAAAAAATTACAAAAAAAAAAAACATTCAATAATAATACTACAAAAAAAAAGCAACAATAACAATGAACAATTGTAACGAGAAAACTCGAGAAGGCATGAGGTGGGTATTTAAGGCAGGCGAGGAGAAAGGGGGAGTCGAATGCAAAGTGGGCGGAGCAATGGAGAAAGGTGGGGCCAGAGGAAGGTGTTCGCAGTTAACCGTTTGCCGCTTAGTCATTTCTGCCGTCTTGGGAGCTCACCGGTAAGAGCTCACTCTCTATCTAGATACCCTAAAGTATCTTAAAAGTAAGCAAGATTTCACCAAGTCAACCTAGTCTTTCTTTTTCGAAAAATTACAGGGTATTACCGACAACAGCTGACTGGCTGACAGCGGCGCCAGCGCAGCGCAAAACAACATTACGAATCGAGTTTGTTTGCCAAAAGATATAAAATAAAATAGAGAGACAAGCCGCAGGGAAAGGTACTTATATAGGATGGGAAGCCATTGTTATAGCAATCGTTGGAGGATCAAATGTTGGACGGGAAGGAGTGCTTTTCAAAAACACAAACACACCACAAGGATATGTGCACTCCGGTTTTCAAGGACAAGGCCACAATGCCAGGACGATTTCCTCCGAGGAATGGCGAACTTTGCCATTTCGCCATTAAGCCGAAAGGTGGGCCAGAAGATAGGTTTTTCCCATCGAGAAACTTGGAGTGTCGGTCTTGCCGCTTCATTGGCTAAATTAACATAATTGATTCAATTGATTTGTGGCTATGTAGTCTATGGAGATTCTATATACAATTTAGTATATATGTATGTACATAGTTTCTGCAACTAAAAAAAGAGAGACTCTTTAAATAATTTATGCATTAAAAATGGAGGTAACCTAAGGCCAGGGTCATAACTGACATGGCCATTATTTTAAAGTTTGGGGGTTGAGTTTTGCAATCCAGAGTTTTATTTTATTTTTATTAAAAATTATAGAGGTTTTACAACTTGATATTACACAATTTGAGTAAAAAACTAGTCTCTAAATATTTAAAAAAATATAATTCATAAATTTCATTCATTATCCAGGGACGTTGCGTCAGCATTAGTCACATACTATTATGAAAATAAGAGATATTAACGACTGGGTTCTGGGGTCTAGCAATGTGCAATCGGAAATGCGACAAGTGGCGCCCCTAATTACGGGATACGCAGCTGTTTTTTATGCTGTTTTTTGCGGTTTCTTTCTGTGTTTATACGCCCCAGATTTGGAAGCAGCGTAGTGTTTTTATCTAATCTCTCGAAAGGGGGCAGCCCACCTGTAAATCGAGCACTTGATAAGCATAATCGCTGCTATGGGCTACGTGCTGTCAGTCGATAAAGGGACAGGAGAGATATGTACACGAGACACCCACTCACCCTCCGCCAGGACATCTTCCACGGTGACTGCGACGCGTCCTACTGTAAAGACCTTGCCCACGAAGGAGTTCTTCTCGTTCGAGGACGAGGACGAGCTGCTGTTGTGCGGATTCTCCAGTCGCGAGTTCTCATTGCGCTCGTTGCTCAACTTGGAAAGGATTTTCTTCATTTTCCTCGATTTTCTTCCAAATGTTTACTGCTTCGAAAGCAGCACACACACACACTGACACAGACAATCGCACGGTCTTAATTGCCTGCGCGTAGGTGTTTTTGGCAATATTTTTCGCTTTATTCGCAACGGCGGGTGGCGGTGACGCTTGCCAATTGATCCGCGTTCGCGTTGGGGATGCGTTAGCTTAATTAAGCTATTTTGAATGCACAGACACACACACACTGCAGCGAAAAAGAAAGTTTTTCGATTTTCCTGCAGCTCTTCAAGTTGTTCGTTGAGGACGGTGTGACCAGAGCTGCGATTGGCGATTCTGCTCACTGCCTGCAGCCAGTGTTGGAAAATGTTGAAATGGTGGGAGCTATTTGTAAACAATAACAAACTGAATTTGCGAGTTGGCCTACAAAATGGTAAATACGGCCAAATACTTTGCTCTTCTAGAGAGTCTTAGCTTTGAGAAGGCTCTTGGTAAGTTCCGCAATGTGTTTTTATTGAAACACTCACAAATCAGACTCTCCAACAGCGAAACAGGCCACCAGCTCCAAAGCAAACACCGGCTACTTGGAAGGAAACCTCCTCGTTTTACAAAAATATGCGAAATTGAGTTTGCAGGAGCAGCTGCATGAGTTAAGCATGGATTACCAACTTACGCCTGAACAGGAATCTACAATAGATCCAGAGGCAGAACCAGTAGTATCCTATATTGTTCGATTGCAGCATGTAGTCCACTTGCTGACCAAGAATATAAACTTTCACAGCGACGCCAAGGAGGATCTTATTTCGGTGGCTCATCTGAAACTTTGCATTCAAGCCACCCAGGAGCTATCCTACTACGCCCTAAGGTGCCAGCTTCATGAAGACTTCTACAAATCCCCGATTTTCAATGAAGCTAAAGGAAAGGTTCCCGTGAATCCCGCCCTTTTGCTCCTAAGCATAAAGATCTTTGTTAATATTCTACCAATTCGGCAATTTCACATAGCCAACTCTATGGAACTGGTGCAGAGGGATCTTCTGGCGGCCATCATAAGTCTGAAGACCCTGGAAGACCATCCCGAATTGGATACAGCCATATCCTATCTCTGGCAACAGGAATCCAAGTCGGATTTCTTTAGACATGTGCTACTATTAAAAGCCACTCCTTTGTGTCCTCCTTTGGCTAAATTGCTCCATCATCAACTTCTGGAGAAGCTTCACTCCCCTCAAGGCTTTGCCAGCTTTGTGGAAGCCTTGCAACAAACTCCAAATGTGAGTCCCTCCAGAAATGCTGAAATTGTGGCTGGAATAGTGGCTAGAAAGGGATTCACTCAGTCAGCCCAGGAAAAGATGATTCAGCAAGTGCTAGAGTATTGCAGGTTCCATCTCCAGGATGCGGACAAAATGTGTGTTGGCATCCTTACCCTGAGAAGGTTTTATGACCTGAGTGAGCGGAATCAAAAGGTAATAGAGGAAGTTCTGTCCAGCCATTGGAAAACCTTGATTGATCCGGAAGACTTGATAGCGGGTCTTATTTTGATGGATCATCAGGAACTCTGCAACAGAATCCTGTTCTGGCAACATCTGTTCAGTAGTTCCAATGTGGCTTGTTTGCCCAGTAACCTCTTGATAGAATACCTACCTCTGCTACTCCAGCTGTATGATGGTTTGCCTTTGGAACTCCCTGCCAGAATCCAGATTTCTGGGCTAATATCTAGGTGTTTAGATAATAGGGAACGTGAAAACGAACTGCCGGCTGTGCTTCAGAGATTATTCAATTGGGAAATAGATGAAGAACCTGCTTGGAAGTGCCTCCACCCACGGGTTCTCATGCTCCCGTCGGCAGAACCCAATAAAATTCAAATCAAGGTGGCTCCCAGTGACTACCAAGTGGACCACGACATGGCCAGGATACTGCCAGGCTTACTGACCTCCACTTCCCACAATACCCTCATCTGTAATGTGTTCCTGGCGTTGTTATCTTACATGGTAAATGTTTTGAAAGAGAAATCCTCGTCCAGTGTGGATTTCATTTCCACAGAGTCCGAACTAAAGGACTTCTTGCATTCAAAATACCAACTCAAGCTGGATCTGCTTATAGCCCTTAACCAGTTGGTTGCTCACCAGCCATTGAGAGCTCAGTTGGCCTTGCACACGAAGGAGTTTGTGGTGATCCTGAAGGACTTACTCCATAAACGGTCTGAAGAGGAGGAAACCGCTGTCCATATACTGCTCCTTATTCTCAATCTTCTCCACGAACTCATCGAGAGCAGTGAAGAGCTTCAGCTTTCTGAAAGCAGTAGAGAACTGAAGGAGCAACTGCTGTTGTTGAAATCGGAATCTCGTAATCCCCTAATCCAGCAATCTGTTCAAACTCTACTAAACCTGCTACAAGGAGCCTGGCGTCCAAGTGATTCCCTAAAAACACAACCCTTCCAAAAGGCGCGCTCTCTTATTGAGAAGAAGGAGTCCCATCTGCAGGTCTATGGCATCCAACTAATGATGGATTTGCTGCACAAGAAGGACCCAACCACCATGGCTCAAAGCCACCTGGTCATAGCTTTGGCGCTCACCACTCTTAAGGACAAGGAATCGTACACCTTCCTGAACTGCGTGCGTCTCTTTGTGGCTCTAGTGCACGTGATGGAGTCTGAAGTTCTGGAAAAGCTGAGCGATGAGTACCTATCCGAGACTGCCGAGTTTGACTATCGACTGGTTGTGGGGGAAGCGGTCCTTAAAGTTTCCCAGGAGCTAGGTGAGTATGTTGTTCATTCATGAAGCTTTAGGTATTTAAATCTTTATAATTTTTCAGGATCTCTTTGCTATCGATACAAGGCAGTGCTCCTGCACTGCTTCATGCATGGCGCCCGCTCTCCAGTTCACGAATTTCGAATGTCTGCCTTTGCCAATCTCGCCCAGCTCTGTCGTCTGTTGGCCTTCCAAGTACACAACTTCTTCGAGGAGCTACTCCAACTAGTTAACAATGAACTGACCTCCGGGGGCTATGTTCCCTCCAAACGTGCCGCTGTTCTGGTTTTAGCAGAACTACTAAATGGCATGGAGAATCTTCTGGACTACCAGGACATGCTATTGCCCATTTATCGTTTGTTGAAAACAATTGAAGCCACTGAGTCCTGCGATCCTCAAATGCGTCAGCATGCGGCAAATGGTTTGAAAATATTAAACGAAAAATGCCGGGCCCTGATTCAATCCAGTATGGAAGAGCAATCCCTGCAGAAGCAGATCAAGGTGCTGGGCATCAAGGATGATAATCCTAAACCTAGAAAAAACCGACACATCCTGGAACTAAATTAAGATAGTATAAGCTTTAATTGTGATTTTAGAGTAGTAATTTTTTAAAAAGAGTTATATTTGTCTATTTTTTTGTATGAAAAAATATCCTTCGTGACTTACAACGAGAAATGCAAACTATTCATCTAAATGATGGCATTTTTAAGGACAAATGTGGTCTGGACTATTTCGTTTTTGGATTACTAGCGTTTACTTCTTTCCAATCGAGAACTCTTTCTCAATCTTGTCGGCAATCATCTTGGCAATGGCCAAGCTGCTGGTGGCGCCTGGCGACGGAGCATTTCGGCAGTGGAGCACCCGCTTGGCCAATGCTCCCGAACCCTCGCCGCGATCGAAGACAAAGTCATCCACCAGGTTACCGTCCAGGTCCATGGCCTGGGCCCGAACTCCGGCTGGACCACGCTGAATGTCGTACTCCGTGATGTCGGGGATGTACTTCTGCAGGGCTTTCACCTGCAGGTTGATGAACCACGACTTGGACATCTCGCTCAGGCCGAAGCCGATGTACTTGCTGGCCATTTTGACAAAGCCGGGGTATCTCAAGGCATCGAGTAGCTCCAGGATGTTGATGTCACCCCAACTGGATGAGGAGAAAAGGGTATTTTCATTAATCTTCCTTTCATATATCTATCCCTTAAGACTCACGTGTATCCCTCTCGTTTCAGGGCGAGCACTGCATTGGGTCCCAACCAGATGGAACCATCCATGCGCGGCGTAAAATGAACACCCAGGAAGGGGAATCGCGGATCGGGAACTGGATAAATGTTACCCTTGACCATGTGCTGCTTCTCCTTCGAGAGCAAAAGGTACTCGCCACGGAAGGGCACAATCCGAGGATCCCGGGGACAACCAGTCTTCTCGGCCAGCAGATCTGACTGCAGTCCTCCGCAGGTCAGGACGTTCTTGGTCCTCACTGTCTGACCTGGCTTAGCGCCATGGATGGTCACTGGGTAGTCAGTGCCCTCCTTGGTTTCGCTAAACTTGCTGACATTGTAGTCCAGGAAGATGCGGCCGCCGGCCTTCTTGATGTCCTCGCCGTAGTATTGGGTCACCAGACCCCAGTCCACGATTCCGGTATGCGGACTGTGAAGCGCCTTGAGACCCTGGCAATAGGGCTCGATCTCCTGAATCTCAGATCCTTCAATCATTCGCAGATCCGGGACGTTGTTGGCAATACCACGCTTCTCTAGGTCACCCAGGAGCTTCACCTCCTTTTCGTCGGTGGCCACGATCAGCTTGCCGCACTTCTTGTATGGAATCTTCCGCTCATCCAAGTAGGCATAGGCCAGATGCATTCCCTCCACGCAGAGCTTGGCTTTGAGGGTGCCTGGCTTGTAGTAGATACCGGCATGGATCACTCCGGAGTTGTGTCCGCTCTGGTGGGTGGCCAGTTTGGATTCCTTTTCGAGAACTGCCACCTTGAGGGTGGGGTGGCGCAGGAGGATCTCACGGGCAGAGGCGGTACCCACAATACCACCTCCCACCACAACCAAATCATATTCTCTGTGAGGAGAAGACGAAGAAATTATCACAGGTTCGGGTTTAAAGATTAAAGTGAGATTCTAAGAAAATCTAGTAACTAAGTAGGCCTATATTAAGTAAATAATATATGACATTTAGTATAAAATTCAACAGCTATATGTAACTTAGCACCTCCCAATAGCTTTTTTTTCTCTGTTTACATAACTCTGTTTTAAAAAAAGTATTCATCAGGCATCTGTCAGAACTTGTATCTGTATCTTATCCGCATTGTAAAACCCCCAAAAAGTATCTCAATCTTAAAACCTCGAAAGTATCTGAAGACCATAAGAATATTCTCAAAGGAGAGAGCTAGATTCTTATCTGAATCCCACAAAGAACTCACCCGCTGCTCGCGTCGCCGTGTTGGAAGCGATTCTGGGTCGCCACCTGGGCAACGCCGCCCACATTGAGGAGTCCTCTCCTCGCTCCCTGCACCAACTGTCGCACCTGGGCCATTTCTCTCGCTTTCTCCTTTTCCTTTCACCGTCCGCACGCTCGTGGAATTCGGTTTATTAGCTTGGCTGCCAACAAAGACCTTGCTTGACCTTGGCTCCGCCCCTCACAATTTGTGCGTACAGCTCGCCGCCCGCGAATCGACAGACTGATTTTTTGGATTCGTGAATCCGTGGAACTTTTCCGTGCCGCGAGAGAAAAATAAATATGCTCGCGGGCACGGGCTGAGCATCTAAAGTAAACTCATGAAGTCGCTAATTGATAAGTGTTCAGGGTAGTGAGTGGGTCAGGGGGATGGTGGGTGGCGTTGGGGCCGCGGGGCTGGTCAGCTGTTCGATTTGTTGATAAGCCAACAGAGGGACCAGCTGGCAGTATCCTCAAGTGGTCTCCTCATATGGGGTGTCCCAAGATTGAGGATATTAGGAAATATGAGATTTTGTGTTGATTTCAGATAGGGTTTATACCTTACATTTTGAATAACGATAATAATTTTATTAACAAAGCCAAAGGGAAAAGCTTAAAATATTTAAAAGTTTTAAACATATGTTTTAAAAATAAATTTTTAAAAAAGTTCAGTTTGAAATTTTAAAAGTGTAGTTTCCATCCCTGGGAAATCCGCGACTTATCCAACACTGTCAGCCAAAACATCAACAGAAAAACAGCTGATTTTCACAACAAAATTTTAAGGAATTTGCAAAGCCGACTGTTTTTATAAACAAACATTTTATTAATAAAATTAATCATTAAGGACTCTCCACTATGCCCGCCCACTGTGCGGTGGTCAATTGCAGCGACAAATATGTGCATTCCGGCAGCATATCTTTCCACAGGTAATCGAAATTCTGATTTCCAATATCTTCCGACATTTAACACATTCCAATAAAGATTCCCCTTTAAGCGGAAGGATCTCCTGCAAAAGTGGAAGGACTTTACCCAACGGAGTGGCCAGTGGATGCCCTCAAAGTGGAGTGCCGTCTGCAGTCGTCATTTTGTAGACGCTGACTTCAACTGCTGCAACAACCGGAAAACCCTTAAAAAGAACGCAGTGCCCACGGTGCGGGTTCCCGAAGAGGATGGCCTGAATGTTATGGTAGAACAGGTGCCAACAGGCAATAGAACGCTGGCCAAGCCAACCCTGTCAAGTGCGGCAGAGCCACCACCTTCTTCAAGCTCCAAATGCACTTGCCGTTTCTGCGGCTCCTCCGCCACGAATTGTTCTTCTTTTGAGAAAAGCTTCGAGCTGTTTGGCATGATCCAAAAGTGCTTTCCCACTCTACAGATTCAGCAGGATGACACCCTGCCGAAGGATATTTGTGTGGACTGCTACCGCCAACTGGAACGTTTCTCGAAGTTCATCGACGTGGTGATGCAAACCCAGAGCGAGCTTCAGCGGAAATATCGCCGTCAATTGAAGATCAAACAGGAGCCTTTAGTGCGGGTGAAGCAGGAGGCCAGCGACAATCTGGACAACCTTTTTCCGGATGAACTGGACATGGGCCTGGAGCAGGACGAGGGCTGTGACCATGAGGAAACCGAGCAGAAGTTCCAGTTTTGTGACTTCCCAGTTCTGAACACCCAGGACATTATCAACAACTGTGATATCATGGAGATTATTAACCTGGACGACCCGTTCATCAATATACCCGACGATGCAGATGTGGGGCTCTCGGAGAGATCTCAACCTCTGCGATCGGCGAATGAAATGCTGCAGTCTGAGATGCTAACAGAGGAGCACAATTATGCCAAGGAGGATTGGCCCTTTCCTCCGGACCAGTACAAAAAAGAGAAGCTGGAGGGCGCAGATGCGGCACCGGAGCCTGCTCCACCACCACCGGCTCCTCCTCCTTCAGCTCCGCCAGTGGTTCCCCTGTCCTTGCCCGATGATCTTCCGCCCTCGGATACTCGTTCTTGCAAGCCCATAGTTACAAACGTCAGCCAGATACCGAATCCCCTGATCTGTGAGCTGCTACCGCCCCCTGCCGCTCCTCCGAGCACCAAGCCCAACATTGTGGTCTTGAACGACAGTGTGGTCAAGTCCTCCGCCGCTTTTCGGCTCCACAATTGTACCCTTTGCACCGCCAAGTTCATCACCTTGGATAGCCTGAATCAGCATTACAATAGCAATCATGGAAATCCCATGCCCATGGTCAGTGTGCCGCCCTTGAACATCGGACTTCCCAACTTGGCAGCAACTCCTCCCATGAAACTGGAGGGCAACAGGGCCCTTGTGTTGGCAGAGCATCTGGAATACTGGCAGCCAGAGTGGCAGAATAGTCATGTGGCCATCCAGCCAAAGAAGAAGATCGACATCCTGGACATGCAAAGTAGTTTCCTGCATCACAAGGACCTCATACCGGCAGCCACGCAGTTGCAAGCACCTGCTCCCGATCCTGAACTGATTGCTGTGACGGCCAACTACGCTAAACTGGCTGCCAGGTACCAGAAGCTAATGGCCAAGTGCAAGAAGCTGAAGGCGCCCAGAAAACGTAAACGCAAGTCCCACGGCTGCAGGATGTGCAGGCGAAGATTCCCCAGCTTGGGCAAACTATTCCACCATCGTCGCCTGAAAGGCCACTATGTGAAGAGGAAACCCAGGTTCTTCGGGCGCTGCTGCGGTTGTTTGAAGATATTCCTCTCTCGGCTGGCACTGCGCCAGCATATGCGCTACATCTGCCAGTCCCTGTCCTTGAGGAACAACCGCCGCCTGCAGAGCTTCAAGTGTCGCCACTGCCAGGCGATTGCGTTTGCCCATTGGCGCCTCTATCGCCGCCACGAGCTCAAGTGCCGGCCGCGGAAATCCAAGCCGAAGGTGCCGATGCCGCCCAGCCGGAAAAAGAAAGTTGCGTCCGTCCAAAATTTCACTTGTGATCTGTGCAAGAAATCGTTTGGGTCGGTGAACGGTCTGCGCCAGCATGTCATCACACATTCAACGGAGCGGCAGCACAAGTGCGGCATCTGCAACAGGGTCTTCAAGCGGCGCAACGGTCTGTCGCAGCACATTAAGGGCTACCACCTGCAGCTCAAGCCGCACGAGTGTCCTGTGTGTCAGCATCGTTACGCCCTGAAATGTGATATGCTGCGATGCAAGCATTCGCTGCGACGAGGACCAGTAGCTGGAGAATGAGGCACCAATCCGCAATGGCCTTTAAACTGTGATATTTGGAGTAAGTTACCATAAAACCTATACCTATAAAATGTTGTAATGCTCTCTTCTCTAGCAGACACCATGGAGCGCTTAGCTGGTGGCCTGCCAAGTGGCCTAAAGAGCTCCCAGCGGGAAGCGGGATTGTGGCCAATTGAAACTCCCACGCGATTCATATGATTTTGTATTATATACATTTATTTGTTTAAATTGCAGTATAAGTTCTTGTATTAAACGCTCTCTAAAAGTATGTGTATTCTTTGTATTCTGTAGTATTTAATGCATTATAGTATTGCTTTTTATTGCTAAACTTTAAACACGAAATACTGAAATGAAAGCTTGAACGCATATTCCACTTATTCCGACAACAACACAGGTGTATTTATGTACAAATTAGGTTTGAATTTTTCGCTTAAAACAACTATCCCTTTTTTTAAACAATAATTAAAATCATAATGAAAATAAAAATGGCACTACCAGTTAGAAAGAATCGAAAGAATTCATCAAAACTAAAGGTACAAGTTCAACAAATAAGAAGATTACGCAACACCAGATATTTCAAAGAGTTCTTAAGCTAAAAACATTCTTCTTAAAACTAAAGGTTAATTATAAATTACGCTTTTGGTATGATCGTTATCTATGTGTACGTATGCATGAATATGAGGACTGGAAGTGGTCTGACTTGGTTTCCCTTCTGGAGTAGCTATTCTTCTTCCAAGTCCCTTCGTCAATGGGACCACTCCAGTAGTAGGTGTGTATATATGAGACGATTAGTATGGATATCAATTATTTTATGTGATGCTTGAAAAATGCCTGCAGCTTGTACGAAGCGTCTCCGGTCTCCCTAGGTTCTTCTATAGGTCCACATTCCATTTAACCTACGCCAAATAATTACTCGCTAGACTACCGCTAGGATAATGGTGCTGGGATCCAGGTCTACTGGAAGATAGCCGCCCGCTGCTGGAACTGCTGGCGCCGCTGGGCCCGCTCCTCCTCCTCGCGCCGGCGCTCCTCCTGCTCGGCCCGGATCTCGTCGTGGAACTTGTTCGTCCTCAGCTGCTGTTCAATCTTCGCCTCGAAGAAGTTCTTGGCTCCGCTCACGCCCACCTGCTCCACATCGATCTCCGTCAGACGGGCCAGCTGGTTGAGCCCCGAATCCGAGTCCAGTTCTCCGGCTCCGGCCTTGCGGTAGATGAGTAGGAACTCCCTGAAGGAGATCTTGCCATCATGGTCCTCGTCCACCTCGGCGATCATTTTCTTCAGCCCGAGATGGGTCTGGGGGGCGCCAAGCTTCTCCATCATGAACTTGAGCTCCTGCAGATCCAAGAAGCCATCCCGAGCAGTGTCGTAGCTGGAAGAATCAAAGAGATATAGTTTTATTATCATGTTAAATGGTAACTGGTATGGTAACCTAATCCTCTAAAGAATTGGTCAGCAGTTTGGAAACCAGAGGCCAACAGATAAGTGTCTCTGGTCATTGACCAAGCCAGAAACACGAGACTGGCGAGGCCGCCAATGTCGGGGATTAGGAATCGATAATGCAAACGTGGGTGCAGTGGCGTCAGAGGTCGCGTGGCACCCTCCCGCCGGCTAGTGGGTGTGTGTGGGTGGGTGGGAAACCAGAGCTCGTCGTGGCAAGTCAACCCAATTTCATGCTAAATTGGCAAACAACAGAGGCAGGCAAGACTATAGCATACATGTCGCATAAATTATACTTTTGTTTATTTAAAATACAAAAGGAAATTATAATGATGGTGGTTATGATTTAATTAAATAATTTGCATCTTAAAAGAAATTATTAAATAGTAGAGTTTTGATTTAAAAAATTGACTAAAGTATTATATAATATATTGTATTTGATTTTCAATTAAAAATCTGAACCTCATGACTAATAATCTGCCAACAAGTGTCTTTCGGGCTTAATCCGCCACCCAGTGGGACAATTTTTGGATAGCATTTGCATCATGATTTCCACTTAACCCATTCCATCAGATACATCCATGGGTTCGACGACCGAAATCGGCAAGTCAAGAGTTCAAACGGCGACACTTCCGCCCAAAAGTCCAAATAGTGTGGGCAGGAAATCGCGATGAAAATGTAAATAAAGCCCATTTACTATTTAATTGTGTAATATATTATAAAAGAGAAAATGCGGCAGAAGCGGCAGTCGCGTGTTGCTGTTGTCGGCAGATGAGCAACCAGCAACCAGCAGCTTGCAACATGCCACAAGCAGCAGCAACAGCAGCAGCTGCCGCCAGCTTCCAAATCGACCTTGCCGGTTAGTCGAAGGATGTTGGTTAGTCGGAAACTTGTTCAACTAGTTGGCTAGTTGGCTAAAAATACGCAACTTCAAGAGCCAGCTAAGGAAGCAGCAACTACTTCACAGATACTCCCATGACAATAACCAGATACAGATACACACACTATACACTAACACTGTTGTGTAGTTATCCAATAATTGAAACTGAAAGTTTCGATTTCTCGTTCGCCTAGAAGAGGCGGCTTATAATGACGAAATATCTATTAGATTACAACAACCAGCAGCGGCAATTGTATCTAAGTAGTTTCGCTTTCATTTTCACTTATAATTGTATTTATTTATCGACAACAAAAATGATTTTCTTACAAAAGAAACTAAAAGATAGTTAATTAAAGAGTGAAAGTAATTAAGCACGAGGGGGAATCATCTCTCTAGCGTGTCTGGAAGTGTCACCTTTTCTCATTTTGGCCATCATCTCGAGTTGGGCAATTAATTGTGGCCACTGTTACGCTATCGCCTATGCCGCCTTTTTTAATTAACCAACAATTGCAAGTCAGTTGCGTCAATGCGACAATTGGTGTCTCGGTTGGGTTATGTTTTTACTTTTCTCCAGCAAGGTATTTATTTTTCAATTAATGGGGGGAGAGGTGTTGTGGTTTGGAATTCCATTCAGCTTGATTTTATTAAATTATTAGTTAAAATAAAGATATTAGAGTCTTAAAAGGTGTTAATAATTATATGACTAGTCTCAGCTTGGTCTTAAAAAACACCTCTTTCTTTAGTCAAGAGTTGAAATCTCTAAAAATCTATATAGATTTTTATTAAATCTTAAACACACACCTGCTGTGCTGGCATCCCCACCGGATTTAGCCCCAAATTCTTTATTGATTGTTTTCATTTCATTAAATCCAAAAAAAAATAGAAAAAAACTTCACACGCTGAGCTGTTTTTGGGGGTGTTGGTTGAACACTTTTCTGCCTCATTGCATGCCGCTTGTTGTTGCGGCAGGGCCATATGCTATATGGCTCTATACCTCTATAGCTATATAGCTCTATAGCTTATAGTATGCATGCGATTTTCATTTTCTTTATCGTTTTTTCGTGTACAGTTCAACAAATAACGGGGTCAGCTGGCCATTGTTGTTAGTGGTGTTGTTGTTTATGCTACATGCCGCAATTTGCATCGTAAATTTATCTATGGATGTGCCACTAGTAGTACCCTAAGCGGTAAACAAGTGCGGTGGAAATAATAGAACCAGATTTTAGATATTGTTTATTTTTAAGAGTCTTAGATTTTTATTATTTTAAAGGTTTATTTTTTATAGTTATCCCTATATTTCTACCTCATACTGTAAGCCTTGTAAACTGCAATTACTTTATTAAACCCAACATACATAGTATCTCTACTATTAGCAACATAATGCCTTCAAAGTTGCAACTTGCAACTCGTATGTTGAATGGAGTCTATTTTTTTGTCTGTGCCCCTGATGTTCAAGCGGGTTAATGCCAAAGGGAGTCTAATTCCGATTCCGATTCATTCAAAAAAAAAAGTATGAAGTTCTTGAACTTTATGGTAACGGTTTCCATTGTTTGCCGCAAAAGCGATTTAAATTCAGAGCGGGTCTTGGCGGGGTCTTGAGTTTCATCATTATATTGATGTGGGGACTATGAATAAAGGTATCAGGTACATGGGTATACCCCCTGCCCATTTGTAAAAGCAATGTCTTGCATACGCAATGGCTTGTTTATTTCGATCGTCTGGATCGTCTCACTCACCTGACGGTTTCCCAAACATGCACCTGTTCATGTGGCCTAGACAAACAGACACTCAGTCGTATATACAGATATACCATAAAGGTATGGGATATGTAAAATGGTAAAATCATTAAAATGCATGACTAGTGGCCTGAAGAACCTCCATTAAATGCTATTACTGCCTCTCGATGTACTTTACATTAATTTCCTTTTTTTATTAGACCTTTAAGGAGGTCTCCTGGTTAGAACTCCTAATAAAATATGTGCTGGGCTGCCCAAAAATAAACTCGCCATATTGTTGACATTTCGAAAGTGGAGCAAACACAGCCAGAAGTGAGAAATCGTTGCGTGGGTCGGGCCTTGTTTGATTATTTTTAAATGTTGCACGAACTGAAGAGCAGTGTGGCACGCATAAGAACGAGAGTGGCGAGTCCAGCAACTACTACGATATGGGGGAACAATGAATTAATGCAATGACTAATTGCAACAAGTTGTGGACACAATGGACACTGCATGAGTGATGATGACTCGTACACATAATTTGATATTTCCTCAATTGAGTGGACACTAGCTAGTGAAGCCACAGCAATAACAAATGTGGCACGATCATACAGTTGCGGTTAATGAATCAGGGTTTTTTAATAATATAATAATTATAATAATGGTCTTTGATTAATCATATTTATACATTTTATTTAATAGACTCTTTAATAAGTAATATTTTATAGAAATGTTTATTGAAATATATCCCTAATTTATTGGCCTCTCGTGTGATTGTCGCTTCAAATCCCATCACAATGAAGCCTCCTCCATGGTGGGGGCCACACACACTCGCCTGTCATTGGCTCTCCTTTGTCAGATAGTTGACTGTGGCATTACTTGGTATTATTTTCCTTTGGCGTGTTTTGTGGACATGCCAGACTGCCCGTCGCCTGCAATCCCACAGCTGCTGAATTGCGATTTTTTTCGATTTTTTTTTGGCCAAATGCATAAAGGTCGCGCACATGTGTGCGGAAATACATGCTCTCTGGCGGGTAATTACCATTCGGAGGCTGCAGCCGGAAATTAGGTATCGATCGTCCGAAAACTTGCTTTACCAGCAACCTCCTCAATACCTCACAATACAGCCGATTAGAGTCAATGAACCTAGGCCCAGTGCAGTGCATAGTTGGTGGGTAAGCCCACCTCCAAGGACCCTGCAATCGTCCCGAAATGTGCAATGAAATCAACAACCCTTGCAAGGCCTATATGAGTGATTTGCATAAGGGGTTATGCCCGAGTAATGGGTGGTGGCTATGGCTATGGCTATGGCAACTTAATTAAAAGTTCTCCTCGCCATTTGCCACTCGCCACTGTGGCCGCAATAAAAAAGCCCATCCGGACACACTGAACAGAATTCCTCCCCTAGAATTGTAAAGTGCGTGCGAGTGCTTGGCTTTTGTCCATGAACTCAGAATTGTAACCAGAGCGACGACAGCCAACGATACTAGTAGCACTGCCATCGATGCCAAATAGCACCCCTTGGCCAGACCAGGGGAGGCGCACAAAGAAGCTTTACACCCACAGTGCTCCCTCCATAAATGGACGGCTTAATTGGGTCTATTTTAGAGCTTCAATAAAGCCAAGAGTTGGTTAACCTTCCAAGAACATTCTCGATATAAGCAATGCTGGGGGTCATATATAGAAATCATGGATTGAAGGGGTTTTTTTAGAAAAAGATGAAAAATTACGATCGAAAATTGAATTCCTAGGTTTTTATGGAAAATGACGGGGAATAGATTTAGAAATTGTTTAAAGTATTCCTTTCAAGAACCGGATGAAAGTTCTGGATAATAAGGGTACTGTAGCAGGCCATGTATGGTGATCATGGATTCCCCAAGGGGTTCTACCAGAAAAATCAAAAAATATATTTCTCGAAAATTTTGATTATGAGGGTCATGGGTTAGGATTCAGGTTGATAGGTATTCCGTTTAAAGTATTCGTTTTTACATGAAAATTATGGGAGCTATGGGCATTTCAGGTGGCCATATATAAAAACCATGGAACCCTACAAGGGGTTCTATCAGAATAATGTGAAAAATATGTATCAAAAATGTTTTTCAGAGAATTGGCTTCAGAACGATATGGAATCTATCTAAAAACTGATTGAGATATTCCTTTCAAGGATAGGATGAAAGTTGTGGAAGATATGAGTGTCTCAGGGGGGCATTTATGAAAATCCTGGACATTGCAAGTAAGGTTCCATCAGTAAGATTTTTAAAAATATTTATCGAAAAATATTTTATGAGAATTTAATGTAGAATGATAGAGAATCGACCTACAAATATTTTGAGGTAATCTTTTAGGAAATAGGATAGAAGTTGTAGATTTTAGGAGCATTGCAGGGGGTCTCCAAAGGCCTCCAAGAAAAGTAATTCCAACTAGAGTGCTGAGACTAAAGATATTTTTTTATATTTCAAAAATATGCAGTGTGAAATGAATCTATTTGAAGTTAAATCTAATAGAAAATGAAAAAAAATAGTAGTTTAGTTTATTTTCAACATTTATAGAACTGAATCTACGAAAGAACCAGTTACAGTATTACCACTGTACTTCACTGTACTCTCTACTTCACTTTATGCAAAATTGAATAAAATGTACTTACTTCCAGACTTTATTTATGATACCCCCATGAAGTCTTTGGTGGTGGGTTTCTCCCAAGTTTGACCAGGGATTGTAGCTTATCTCCAGAAAACAGACGATGAATCCCACACATGGAGATGACACTACTCCCCCGGGATGATTAATATTTGTTAGCATTTAAAGGCGCCATAAAGTACATGATCGATACAGTTCTTTGGTTTATTATCGCCAGCCGGAAGTTGGGGCCAGTTGGGCAATGAAAGCCAGCCGACATCCGTGCGGAAAATGGCGCATTATGGGAGGAAAGTAATCAGGAAACTAACAAACAAAAAACCAAAGACGCTATAAAGCGGGCGTGGGATGTAACTATATATATAATTTTATATTCCATATGAGCGATTAAACATGGGCTGGGTCATGGGTCCGGCAATCTGCCTCGTGTACTTATCGTTTTGGGAAGTTTCAGAATGCCTTTTCGCTCTAAAATGCTATGACGTCTTAGGGCAGACACATATATGTATGGTAATATTATTTGTTTATCCGGAAAGCGATTCGGTCTGAATCAGTTGCGATTTGTTTATACAAATTGTTTTGTGAAACACAATTTAATGCGTGACTCAGGCAACGATTTGCTTTCGATTCTTGGGTGGAATCGCCATAGCGTGTATTAATTAAAGTGTTTCAGGTTTTTGAATTTGCAAGTTTAGTGTTTAGCGTTCAACGTGACTGGAAATGCCAAGATCCGAGTACCTTAGCTTTTATCCGGTTTTTTTCGTTGGAAGATGGACCCCAGAAGTGGGGTCTAAAACTTGACATTTGTTGGGGAATAAAAAAGTCTACTTAAGTTTAAATTACGTGAGATATTCTAGTTATTTAGCTAGAGATTTTATTGTATAATCATAGCTTTACTTGTCTCTGGCCATATCCACTCTCATCAACCGTATTTGCCCATTGCATTAGCTAATAGTAGTAGACCAAAAGTCACTCCGGCTCTTGGCCATCTACCATTTGTGGCTCAAACGGAAAATATTTCCCAGACAGCCTGGAGTTGATTTTTTTTGCTGTTGAAGCTTTTGGTTTACAATTGCAGAGCACGTTCGCAGAGCCATAAGGCCATAATGCAGGCAGTATTCGGTTTTGACAATCTGCCAGACTACGATGACCCAGATGCAGAGGAAGCCCCGATTCCAGGGGAGGAGATGGCCCTTACATTCTCCAATGAATGCTGGCTGAGATGATTCAGCCCCACCTCCGGTCAGTTAAAAGTTGAATCAGTCTAAAGTGCGACAGGTGCTTCTCTGCGAATTCCAGGTATAATCAAGACAGATAATTTGGGATGAGGATGAGATAGCTTATCAAGCCAGAGAGACGTTCTACGGCTACGTGACAAGTACGAGAATTTGAATAACAATTTTCAGAGGTGTAATCTAGCATAACATTGCGCAATAGTAGTCCAACTGCGGTTGATTGGACGAAATCCGATCCGATCCGATCCGGACTATCATAGCAAAACTAGGAAAATGTGGTTTAGAGACCTAGGAACCTTTGAAAACACTTTGTTGACGTTGTCGGATGGTAATTGAAAACCGTTCACAAGTACGGCCATAAATACAGATGAGACCCACTCTAACTGAAATCCTAGACAATGTTTTGAAATGTGAGCCAAAAAAAATATAAAAAATATGGTATGAATTTAATATGAATTTTATTTAAAAAAAAAATCTGTTATAGCCATGCTGACCTGTAGTGTAATAATTGAATTCGTTTGAAAGTGTTAAGGCAGAAAGCTACTTTTGACTCATGATCCGTGTGGCGGGAGCGGGAGCCCGACTTGGGGCCTCGGGGAATTGTGACTTGTGGCTGCGACGACAACGTTTCCACCCAAACTGTGAGTCATGCCCCATTGCACTTGCTGGAAAACCAGAGGGACTCGGAGGAGGAGGAGGAGGAGCTGAGCAGTAAATGCAATTTAAATGCCCATTAGGCGCATGAGTTTTATGTTGCCAAGCTAATGAGACGCGAATGCGGTGAGAAGCCTGGGAAAGTGGCCCTACCAGGTGAAAGACAGGGGGGGGGGGGAGGATTCAAAATCAATTATTTTCCATAGCTATAGAAACCTATACCAATTGGCCTTGACTTACGTATTGAAGGTCTTCTGGTAGTCCTTGATCTGCTTCCTGGAGAACTCATGGAACTCGGTGTACACATTAACCACCTTGAAGGTGCGCGGCACTTCGATGCCCGCCTCCTGCGAGTCCATGATCTCCTGCCGCCGGTTCAGAATGTGCGTCAGCTCGGAGCTGTCCGTGTTGGTGGTACTGGCGGTGGTACTGTCGTCCACACTGCCATTTCGCGAGGCCGAGGAGGCGTTCGAGGAAACTGACATTTCGGCGAGTTGGTTGATTTACTTTGCGGAGGTGGAGCTGTGCTGGAATGTCACTGTTTTTTTTTTGTTGTTTTCTTTGCTTTTTCGGCACACCCTAATACAAGGACAGCAGCTCAAAGAGGAGATGTCGGGATACACACACAACGCCAACGGGATGCGCCAGAAAAACACACACAACAAACACTGAAGCTTATAATAAAAAAGCTGATGCGCGGGCGTTGCCTCGAGTCCTGTTTTGGCTAAAAATGCTCGAAAAACTGCGTTTCAGTCGTCACGAAAGCCGGTTGTCTTATTGTGCACTTGTTTTTCTATGTTTCACGGAATGCGCGCTACCTCGAATTGAACGGTCGGTCGGTGGAACAGTGGGGTTTTGTTTGTTTTCAAAAAAATGTTTTCAGGGCTACATAAGTGTTTTTCCCCTACTTAAAATTTTCAAGAATTTTCTACTTTCAAACCTCTGGTCACACTGAAAACTTTCTGACAGCGTTGCCAGAAATTGGTTCGATAACTCTGTCGGCTAAAACTCTCATCCCTAAGTGTGCAAATATTTTATTATTAAAAAATTGTAAATTGTAATTATTCAATAAAAAATGGGTAGTAAATTATTTAACAAACTTTTGCTGATTGCTGGATTTGCCAGCCTGGCCCATGCCGCTTTTTCGGCTGCTCACCGTAAGTATAGGGGCATGGATGAGGGTAAACTTTGGACTAATGGCCCTAATTGATTCCACAGATCGCACCTATTTGAGACTGACGGAGCAGGAATGGACTAGTTTGCCTTTGGATGTAAAACTAATTATTATAATAACCTTGTGCATGTAATTACCTTTCCCTATACCCCTCAGATCATACTGCAAACTGTCATCAGCTTGGTGATAGTTATTTACAACATTATTGAGATTGTGGGCAACTTCAAGGAGATCCGGGCCACTGTGGACATGCAGCAGAAGACATGGGACACTCTGGGCAACTTTCCGTCGTTTTACTCCTTCAATCATCGCGGTCGTGCCTTGAATCCTGGCTACGCGCCTGAGGATTAAGAGAGATATAAGTTTAATTGGTTTTTAGTGCTGATTTTATTATATTTTTAGTGTGAGCCAGTCATAAGATAAATAACGCTAAAGAACAACCAAAAGACACTGTATTTTAAAGAGTTAGCGGAGCTCCTGGTCTGAAGCATGGCCAGGGCCTTGGTTTCTAATTCGTAGCTAGCTCTTAGGTCTCTTCCAGGACTATTGTTGCAGGCAGAAGTGTGGCATGTGCGGCACATGTGGTTGCTGCTCCTGAGAAGGCATTCGTAGTAGAGCTCCGAGTCAGAACGACAGCCTCTAACGATCTTCTGAGTTTGCGTATCAAAGTACTCCAGGCAGGCCACTTTTTGATCCTCCGGCTCGTTGGCTGGAAGGGAACAAGGCAACGCAGTTTGTCCTCTGGAGACTTCCTCGCAAGCTTGGCCACTGCACTGATGACACCACAGACGTTTCTCGGGAAAGGCTCCTTTATTGCAGAAACTTCCCTCGCACGACTTGCAATCGGCAATGTTCTCGGAATTGCAAGAGAAATCCTCCCGCTGGCAGCCTCTTGAAGTGGTGCCATTGGCGAATGTAGCCATTAGGCATGAGGATCCTGGCTCGGCGCACTCATCAATGTAGATTCCTCCTGGTACTTCCCAATTGGCGCATCCTGCTCCAGTCTGATCGGTGTTGCAACGATAGCAGCGGGTAAAATCCTTCCTGTTACAACCACTTCCGTCGCATTCGTAGCAGTTGAGAATCCCAGGATTGACAGGCGGTGCCCCACATCCCCGCTGGATACTCCAGTCGTCATATTCGCAGACGAAGCAAGAGGAGGCTTCCGCGGAGCCGCAGGTGCCATTGGTAATCGCCGTAACATTCGTTCTGCAAAGAGTCTGGTCTAGAGAGTTGCAGGTCAAACATCGTTGCTGGGTAATGCAGCCCGCATTGCAATTGTCACTATCCCGGCACTTATCCAGCTCATCCAGATGCGGCTGCAGGTCCGTGGGCAGCTGTGTGGAACAGCCTCGCACCACTCGGTTCAGCTTTCGATAGCTGAAGCAGTACTTGTCTTCCGGCTCGCCCAACAACACCTCCTGCTGGCACTCTTCGTACATGCTCACATTGCACTTTCCGGTGTTCACCTGGAAGAGATCAATCTTGCAGCCTCTTCCAGCTTCTGAGTCGCACCTGGCACAGATCTGAGTCCGGGCGCCTTGCTCCTCATTGCAGCCATTGATCTCGCAGAGCTTAGCGGCACCGGAGAGTGTATGATTCTGCTCGGAAACACATCCTCGGTAGGCTTCAGAGGAAGTAATGACATCGGTGTAGCATTGATCTTCTTCCAGGTGATAGCGACATGGTTTGGGTTTCGAAACGGGAGATGCTACACATTCCGATCCGGCGCAATGATGACACTTGAGGCGTCCTGGGGGATAAACACCCGTGTTGCAGAGGTTCGAGGTGCAGCTCTTGGAGTAGGTGGCTCCAGTGGTGGGAGTATTGGCGGCACATCCACGATACGTGATAGAGTCAACTGGGAAATGAATAAAAAATTGTAATTCAAGAAAGTTCTTAGATTGCAAATCCAATTAAATTAAAAGTAGTATCTAAAAAAAGAGGTAATTTAATAGATTGAAAAAGCGTACTGTATAAACTATTAAAGCTAATTGGAAGTTTAAAAATAGTTTCTTTACTAAATAATGATTAAGATACGAGCAAGGTAAACATACCAATGGACATGGCACACGTCAGTTCGGTGGGGCAGTCGACATAGGGTAGAACACCCACCTCTCCGAGGGTCTGGGAACATTCCGGCAGGGCAATTGAATCGCAATGGTAGCAAACGATTGCCCAACTGCAGTCTATAAATGAATACCTTGTTTATACTACGCACTATTTCTGGGAGGATTAGCAAGTGTTTCACCTGGCCAATACAGTGTTAGGAGGAGAAACAGCAGGTGGAACACCTTTAGTCCAAGCATTTTGAAACTCTACCAAAGAATTGCAGTTTTCTTTGGTTATTAAGTCTATAATCTTTTTACGACTTATCAGGCTATATAACAAAGAGTATTGATATAGGGTTCTAGAAATGATAAGGATAAGCTTTAAATGTCGATTTTCTGCTTGACATTTAATCAAAATTTCATTGAAATGGTAAATATTTACATATAGTTTTTTAACAAGTCTTAAAGTTTCATTTAAAAATTTAGGTTTTAAGAGTTAAGACCTAGATGTGTCAGTTAAGTTTTAAGGATAGATTCTATTATTGTTTAAAATAATAAATTATAATATATTTAATTTCAAAACAATTTATTTCGAAATCCTTTTTTCAGTGTTTGAACCTTTCCCAATAAAATGCTATTTGCTCCCATTCAATCCCAGTCGCTGTGCATATGGCCAAAAAAAAGAGTCATAACCATAATGTGGTCATATGCCTTGACCCCATTATCTGGGTGAACCCATCGCAGACCGCATCGAAAGGTTCACATCATCAATAATTCAGGGAGTCCCATTTGTTGCAGGATACCGGGGAGCGACTCATAAGCGTGGAGGGTCACTTGAACCTCTATATTGACCATGCTCTCCTCCTCCGGTACCTTCTTGCCCGCCCCTCCCCGGTATCGATTTAATTTAGAGACCGGATAATTGCGTGACAATCAGCGGATTTGAGTACACGTATCGTATGACCGGCGATTTAATGGCGGACATGGCCACATCAGTTGTCTGGAAAGCAGCCACGGAACAGGTCGGCCGGGAATAACAACAAGGTATCATCATCGGTGGTGGAATTGAGCAAATATTGCTATTTGCAGAACTCTTCAGAGGGTGCTGGGGGATAAAACGATAACATAAGATACAAATAGAGATACGAATCTGATAAGTCCATCAGTTTGCCGGCTCAAGTGGAAGATTCATTCCGCCATTCCTGTCAGACAGTTGGCAAGCTTTCAACCGATCAGTGACCACAATGCGGATGAGGATACTCTTTATGTGGATTACCTTTACTGCTCTCCTCCAATGGTCGCAAGCCGAGGAGGATAACATACATGAGGTGAGCTTGGAAGTTAATGACAAAAATGATGGGGATCCAGCCGTGGTTCAGGAAGTTAATAACACACCTCCCGAGGTGCCTATGAGAACCACAGAGCTGCCAGAAATAATGGAACCAGTCACCCAGGCCCCATCGGAGATGAGTTCTTCGATAGATCAGCACTCGGAGGAGAATAAACAAGAACCCAATGAGAGCTCTACGGAGTCCCCTAACAAGGATCCTCTATCTGGGGAGGAAATTAAAGAACCTACAAAATCGCCTGAGCCTGAAATTACTGATTCCAGCAAGGAAAAACTGCCTGCATCGGATCAGGCTCCAGCAGGAGAATCCTCATTAGAAGTGGGCAAGGATAAATCGCCTGAGCCACCAATCGAAATATCCGATTCCAGCAAGGAAAAACATCCTGCAACTGATAAGGCTCCACCAGGAGAATCATCCTCAGAAGTGGGAAAGGATACTTCCGAGGAACCACAACCACAAACATCTCCTGGAAAAATGCCCGAATTCGAAAATCCAAAGACATCAAGCGATGGAGCTGATTACCCAAATGATGCCCCCCAGGACATCACCACGGTCAAGCCCACCACATTACATACTGCTCCACCCCCGGTACCCCCACCAGTGCCACCACCCGTTTTTATGAACATTAGTTGTTATAGCTGTATGTTCTGCGAAGGTCCTGTGAAGAATGCAAAAAAAGCCAAATGTCCTCCGAAAAAAAATCAAAGGAATGGATGCTTCACCGTTTTCGTCCGGGATGCAAATATAGCTCCCGGTAAGGATAAATATCTGGCACGGGGTTGCATATCCGAATTGGAAGACTCTTTACTGGATTATTGTGGCAGGAATGCTGGATTGTGTTCGAAATGTTATGATCACGATTGCAACAACCAGGATGTATCCACATATGAAGCTGCAATGGGAGGAGCTGGGCACCACATTGCTCATCTTTCGATTACCCTGGTTCTCTGGAGTTTGGGTTGGAATTGGATTAATTCCCTAATGCTGCTCTAGGAACCTTACTGCTCACAGCTATTTCCAAACATTTATATTTTTTAAAAAAAGTCAATCATTTGAATTCTAGAAATAATATATCTTGATTACTAAAGCATCAAAGTTAAAACCGCACCAACTATTATTGTATATTTAAAATTTTGTAAATATTCTAAAAAAAATAAAGTCAAAATTATTTCAATAAAACTTTAAGCAAAAGCTAGAAGTCGAGTTAATTTAATTGAAACATCATTTAAAGTATTGGCATATGTTCTAAACTCATATAGGATAATTGCATAAATTATTCAGGGCAATCATTCCCTCAAGACTTTAAGGGTTATGATTCAGGGCTCACTAAAGCTTTAAATTTATAGTCTAGATTGTTACAAAACACGCAATCTTTTTAGGAAAAAATCTGTACTTAAATACTATTTAATGGGAAATATACACAATACGATTTCATAGATCAGAGTATAAGCTACATTCCTAAATCAACGCCTAAATCAAAAATGATCAAAATTGTGGTTATATGGATTATTTTCACTGTACTACTGCAGAAAATTAATATCCAGGAGGCGAGCACTCCTCCTCCTGTCGAGAATCAATTAAATATACCCAATATCGAAATAAAGTCGATTTCTGAAACCTCCGATAAAGTTTCCACCAGCATGGCATGGAGCTGTACTAGTTGTGTTTATTGTGAACGTAATTATACTAAAATAGAGAAATCTATCTGCCCCATTAGGCTGGGAATACTAGAAGGATGCATAACGGTGTTCCTGAAACATACAACCGCCGATTTAGGATACGATATTTTCGTGATAAAAGGATGCATATCGGAAATGATGAATGAAACGCTTCAATACTGTTTGGAAAATGAGAAAATGTGTCTTAAATGCTATGGTGAAGACGACTGCAATGAACTCGATGAGTGGGAGGATCGTCCCAATGGAGGTTCCACTTTAATAAAGTCATTTGCCGTCTGGTTGGCTTTTCTTGCCACCTGGCGTGTAATGAGTGTATGAGGTGCGAAAATTAACCATCAATATACAAATGACTCACCTGCAAATCAAATAACTACCCGACTTTGCACCGTAAACAGTAGATAAGACTAACATTGATTATCACGGAAGATAAAATTAGCAAAACTAAAAGGATATATGGAATTTGGCACGGAGAGATTTGGAATTTTTTGTAATAATTGGTACAAAGTAATTAATAATGGAAAATGCCATTCGAAATATTTTAAATATGAATACTATGGTCTATATATAATCTATACTTTATATCTATGCTTCTATATTAAAATAGCTTACCTAAAATACTGTGATTTCTATTGGTCTTTGTTATTTATGTTATCTGATATAACTCTTAAAGAATTTCCTTTACTTTTGTTCTAAAAAACGTACCCACAATAGAAAAAAAAAACAAATTTATTTATTAAAGAGTTTTGTTTTTATTTAGTGATTACCAATGAGACTAGTTAGCTGAAATTATGTTTAAAACTTTGTATCTTTGGGCTGGGAGACTACAAGGAATTCCGAAGGGTGATGAATGCCACAATCAGGATACCGGCTACTCCAACATGGTTTAGCGAGGATGCACCGTTGTAGGCCCATGTGTTGCACTTGGAAATTTCGCACTTTTGGCACTGATGTCCTGTCACATTTGTGGTGCACTGATATTGCATCAAAGAGCTCGCCGAGCTGAAGCAGTCACGTACAAATTGGCGATCTAAATACATTTTAATTAGTTTAATGTTTTAAGTTTTTTAAGCCACGTGAACTTACTCCAATATCCACTGAAACAGGTTCCATTTGTGCAGGAAACCGTTTCCAACTTGCTGGTGTCCTTTGCGTCCCAACAGGCACTATTCAGGCTGGAGGAGCACGAATAGCACTCGAATTCCTCGTACACCTGACTATTGCACTTTCCGGTATCACAGATCGAGCATCCCTCAGTGGTACTTACGGAACAATTGGCATTGGCGGTATTTGAGGTGCAACCCCGGGTCATGTTGGTGGCACTCGTTCCAGAACTGAAACACCTATCATTCAAAGGACAGCCCAGGAGCATTTCGTCCTTCACTGTGTTGCATGACTCTCCGGTGCAACTGTAGCACACAACGTTAAGGTTGCACTTGTCCATGTTGCAACCAATGCAGCTTGGACTTTTACAAGGTTCCGCATCTGTTGCATTAGAGCATCCCCGAATTACGCCAGTATCTGAAAGATAAATTTAAATGAAATATGATTTAAATTTTGTAAAAAATATTAAAAATATTAAACTCTCATAAAATAGGTTTATTTTTTCATTAAATTATATATTAGAGTAATATCAATAGGTGGAAACAAGATAATCGCTTATCGGCCGTAACTGCCACAAGCCATAATCGATAAGAGAAGGCCCTGCATTTGCTTTGTCTCAATTTTAATCTAAGAATTCGAAATAGTCGGCCACATGAGTCATATGTACATATGTATTTGAAAACCTACCAGTAGTATTTATAGCGCATTCTTTGTTACCGCAGTCTACAGTGTCAACGTTGGTAACATCTGTAAGGCACGAGGCATTCGCTGATGTGCAACTGTAGCAATCTTCAATTAATGGAGAAAAAATTAGTGTTTTGATAATTAAATTTTGTCCGAAGCTTACGTATGGCTACACTGACATCCAGTTGGCTTAAAACAACAGCTGTTATCAGAACGGCAACGAAATTATAGCCTCTCATGGTTATTGGCTTTTTCAAATACGATTTTTTGTGAAATTCAATTTTCCGACTGCTTGGCACGACCACCTTTGGTAAACTAACTGGCCCACTGGTTTGCTAATATTTTTTTTACCCACCATAACCTAATCAATTTCACCTGAACACACTACTCACCCGGCAAAGTTCTCCCTGTTCAATGCTTATCTGCGTTTTTTTTAAATATTTTTATATATGTTTCTCTTTTTGCTGATAACTTCAATAAGCAGGTGAGATAAAATATACAACTGTGTTCAAACATGGTAGGGTAAGTACCGTGTTTATACTGATGAAGCTTTTTAGGATGAATGCTTTTGGCCAAACTTGCATTAACCCATTATAATTTTGGATTTTATGTTCAGCTTTTTCGTTTTTTTTCTCTGATTATATTTTTTTCTTGAAGTTATTTGGAGATATTTGAATTAATGTATTTAACGAATTTATTTACTTTGGTTTGAGCTTTTTACCTTTTTTGGCCAAAAAGCAAGGTGTTTAAAGTTCATATAACGTTTGCTTTAGGTTTGTGCATTCACTATAGTTCTAGAAGAAAGCTTTCATTTGTTTTCATAGCCGATCTTAAAAATATTTAATCTATAACTAATTTTTCCTTACTTTAAATTTTGTGAAAACTTTGCGTATTAAATAAAGATCATCCAGTACATAGAAGAAAATTGACTGCTTTTAACAAAATATTGATGTTGTTTTGTTAGAAAATCATTCTTTCTAAATCAGTAAACCCCTATTTGACATATTTTTATATATCATATGTTTATTTATGAATAATAACTATTTTTCAATCCTAAAACCACAAATTTTCATAAAATTCCTTCATCGTTAAAGAAATATTTTCTGTTTTTGGTTTTAAGAAATCACAAGATTCCACTTTGTTTTGTTAATTTTTTATTTCTTAAATAAGAATGAAAACCACCTAGCCAGTACAAATATACACATAGAATTATAATACAACTGTTCGGCGAGCCGGAAATAATTATTTTACAGAAGGTTCTTCACTCCCAGAACCAGAAGCAGGAGCATCGCTCCGAGGGAAACCTTCAGGCCGGCGCTACCGTTGCACTTGTCCGTCAGACAGAGGTCACATCCATCATTGGCATCGGTATTCTCGGGCAGGCCGAGCTCCGTCCGGACAGCCTGGCAGCCGGATTGTCCTACTGGCACCCTAATGCAGCCACGGTAGGTTTCTGTGATGGATGAAGGAAAATTAAAGAATAGTTTCCGGGTTAGATTATCAAAAAACTCACCTCCATCCTTGTTGATACTGTAACAGGCTGCCGTCTTATATTCGACATCCAAATCCCGGTTCAGGTTGCGGTAATTTTGGAGGAGGATATCGGCGGCTTGGGCGGTTAGGGATCGACGGCGGCGACTTCCAGCGCTGGGTGCTGCTGTTGGTGCTGCACTTTCAGTGGTGGTTGTGGACTCCGTTGAAGGCTCCGTGGTTGACTCGGTTGTTGACTGCGTTGTAGACGGTGTCGTAGCTTCTGATGAAGCCACTGCTGTGGAAGCAGTAGTGGGCTCAGACTCAGCCGGAGACGCCGTTGTAGACTCTGAAGTAGACTCCGTTGTAGACGGGGTCGTAGCTTCTGATGGAGAGGCTGTGGAAGCAGTAGTGGACTCAGACTCAGCCGGAGACGCCGTTGTAGACCCTGAAGTAGACTCCGTTGTAGACGGTGTCGTAGCTTCTGATGAAGATTCTGTCGAAGTTACCGTTGTAGACTCGCTTGTAGACTCTGTAGAAGACTCCGAAGTAGATTCCGTAGTAGATTCCGTAGTGGATTCCGTAGTAGATTCCGTAGTAGATTCCGTAGTGGATTCCGTAGTAGACTCAGAGGTAGATTCCGTAGTAGATTCCGTAGTGGATTCCGTAGTGGATTCCGTAGTAGATTCCGTAGTGGATTCCGTAGTAGACTCCGTAGTAGATTCCGTAGTGGATTCCGTAGTAGACTCCGTTGTAGACTCCGTGGAAGATCCTGTACTAGATCCCGTACTAGATCCAGGACTAGATTCCGTAGTAGACTCAGTTGTGGATTCAGTTGTAGAAACCGTAGTGGAACTCTAAATATATATTTTATAATATAATTATTTAAATATCACCTAGATTAATTCTGATCCTAAGATCCTACCGTGACTATCTCATCCACATTGCAAGAAATCAAAGGAACATTTTCCCAGTCATCACAGGCAGATCCTTGGCATTGATAGCACTCAAGGGCGCTCGCTGGAACCAAAAAATAAAAAATAAATAAACAAACATTATTAATGTGAGAGGTGAGTCACAGTGAAAGAGTGGGCGGAGGGAGGCGTGGCAACCGGCCACATACCGGCGCGGTGGGTGCACTAAGGTCGAACGAGATAAAATTTCGTCGGTCGGTCGGGTGTCGAGCAGCCAATAACTCTGATTGATAAATCAAATACGAGATAACATTGCCATTCTTACACCACCTGTGTACTATGTACTTTCTACATTCACAACCTTGTTTTTAATTTTTAGGTTAAAACACTTGAGTACTCCCTTTATCGGATAACCTTTCAACTCAAAAGTCAGCTGACGGTTTTATTTGGGCCATATTTGATAATGATTAAGTGTTGTTTGCAGAGTTTTCATTCCGTAAATCAAGTGCAGATTGCAAAAGCCCCTTTTTGGATACAACTTATCTTTCAAGAGTTATTTTTAAAATTAATGAGGCATATTTAAAATCCCTGGAAGCAAGGAGTCAGAAAGGGGAAGCCCCTGTTTAAAATAAAAACTAAAAAATTCGAAAGAAAGAACTTTATAAGAGGATCATTTTTAATAATATTCACTTTTTTGCATCTACGAAAATGAACATAATGAACATAAATATTTTAAATTTTTATGAAATCAATAAGGCTGACGAACAAGTTTTCTTCTTTTACTGAATATCTTTCTAAAAATCTTTAGACTCATTTAGGTGAGTACATCCTATTAAAAAGTTTTCAAGTTTTTCTAATATTTGTAACGCTTTTGAAATAAAATTCTTTCTGTTTTTGGCTCTTATGCATACTTTCTTGGCCATTTTTGAAATATTAATATCCTCATTCTACTAAAACTACATCATGTCTTACAAATTTGAAAACCAAATCATATGTCCTTGCCTTGCACTTTTAAACATAAGAGAAACCAAACAAATGTTTATACATTATAGTTTGTGTTCGTTTTTTAGTTTTTTTTTTAACTGTTCCCGGCAACAAAACTAATTACAATAATGGCACGGGCCATGGCTCCATTTTTCACTTGAATTCGGCGCCAACTACTATTGATAAGAGACCTCGTTTTATTTTCGTATTACCCAACCAAATTAGTTAATAAATAAAGTGTTAAGACCACGATAAATAGTTCAATAAATTATGCTTAGATCTGATATTTTCAGCGATGTTCACTTTAAGGTAACAAAGATCCAACCTGGCCAAATGTTTGAGGATGAAGCAACAAGTGCCACCAGGAAAAAGGAAGCCGTGATCAAACGCATTGTCCTTATTTATTTGATTATTTTTTGAACCGAAAGGATAACAAGGATATTGTCGAGATCACAGAGAAACGGAAGAGAAACAATAGAAGCGAACCGCACGACGACCGAATGGTAACTAACAATTAAATATAATGTTAACATGGCTTTTTTATCATTCACGTCGGCTGATAAGCGGGAAAGCAGCGAAAAAAGCAGTGAAGCATGCTGGCATTGTTTTAGGCCGTCTTCCTGGCGATAAGGCCGTCGCATATAAACCTATATAACCCCGATCGTAAACGATAAGGGATCCATCGGAGGTAATAGCAGCACTTCCTCAGGATGCTTAACTTTTTTTCCCCCATTTATTGCCATTTTTATGGGACCCTTCAATGAAATTGATTGGCGATTTGTTTTGGTTCCTAGAATTTCTAATCGATAAGATATTGATTGATGCGAATATCCCCTAAAGTCTGGTCATAGACCAGGTTTTCTTGTTTTATAGAGTCGGGAATATCCCATGACACAATGAATTAAATAACCGAATTCTTTTGCAAAAATTCAACATTTTTCCTTGCATTTTTTTTAACTTTATCGAGACTTGCTGGCGGGTTTTTAACCCTTCCAAGGATTACAAATAGGTAATTCCTAGCTATGGAAATCTAATCAGACGAATCGGTTTTAAAGATATTTAATTCCCCACCTGGCTTTATTGGTTTTGCTGACTAATCACCGAACAAATATGGTACGTATATGTACTTTCTGGAAAAAAAAGGTATATATAGTAGAGTCTCCTGCTTTTAGGCGACCATAGAGTTCCAAATTCCGATAAACAAACTGACAATATCAGTTAACTTGAATAACGATTAACAAAAATATATATTCAATGATTCATACTTTCAGTCAGTTGCCAAAAATTTTCCTTTCGGTAACTTGAAAAAATAAATAAATAAATGCAACTGCCAATTAATAGAACGACACTAGAGCCATAAATCAATCAGCAACCTAATACCTATATTATTTAATCAGTTTTTCAGATAATGAAGATAAAGTAAACTAAACCTGCAAGGTCACATGCAAAAAAGTCCCCTTTTCCAAGAAAACTTTGGAATTTATTACTATTGAGATAATCTATAGCAAAGCTTTGGAAATTCTAAGACTTTCTGAAAGCAAATGACCTGCGCAATAATTAATAAATATGGTACAAGTATGAAGGCTCGTCTAGTAAGAGGTATTTACACCTGATAAGTTAAACTAATCTATGACGAAAGTACTAAATGGTTTCCCCATAAACTAAGAAATCGTTGACCATAAACTATATAAAGTGTAACACAGTTTATATTATTGAAATCTTTATTGTCTAAATGGTTGTTTTTTACAATCTGTGTTGTCTAATTGAAGGGAATAGGACATCTAGATTGGCTTATAAATATCCACAATTAAAGTCTTTGGACTTTTAACGATAAGATTCTTTTTTTAAAAATACGTTAAGTACCGGAAAGTCGAAAGCGAAAGTAATCGCCATTAACCAAAACCCTTATAGATGGTATTTATTAGTGGGTCCATAAAGCCAAAGTTACGATTTACCGGCTGGCCGCATACTTATACCATCTAGTGTTACCAAGTGTCCCGAAAAATTATATTCTGAATCTTATCTAATCGATTGCGAATCGTTGTGGCTGTGTGTTTGATTTTCATTTGGTCTGTTTTTTTGGTTTGTTGGCCTTTTGTGTTTGTCTTGAGTAAATTTACTTAGCATAAATGGCCTAAAAGTATGCCTGTTCGCCGATTTATGGCCAACCATATTGTATGCCCAGAAGAACTACCACAGGGCGTATACGTGACATTGGCCTTGTGGCTTTCTTATGCATTTTGTGTTCTTCAACTCTATGATAAGGTTGTTGCAACTCTATAAATAACTATCACATGACCAATTAGTGTATAAATATGCGATAATGGATGCTATAAAAGTTATATATTTTAGCTATCCAAGTGTCTTAGGAAGGGGAATTTTATTCATTGTGGATTGTATAAAAATTTCTTTACGAGCTGTTATCTTATTTATCCAATCTGAATCACACTTTCATTCTTGTTCCTTAAAAAAGGGGTATCCCCCGACTTAAAATTGAAACTCTTTCTTAACAATTACATATATTATTTATTAAGTTTTCGCCTTAAACTTCACATTTGGTTAGATTAAATTTATACAAATACAGTTGTATATATTTCGATATTCGTTGTGTTTTGTGTGTGGGTGAGTGATTTGTCGTGTATATCCTTAAATTTATATAAAATTTATAAATCACTTGATGATTGGGACTGTGTCTGATGATGAGTGTCTTAAAGAAACGAGGAATACTAGATTGTAGCACCGGGTGATGAAAGATGGCTAGACCATTTAGTTGCGCTGGAGAACTGCGGCCACAAAGGCCAAAAGGAAAGTGGCCAGGACGGAGTTCCTCAGCATGGAGCTGCTGTTGCAGGCATTCATGCTGCAAGGGTCGCAGGTGGCGAGCTCTGTGTTGTTGTTTTGGAGCTTCAGCTGATCGCAGACGCCCTCAGAGGTGGTCACTCGGGAGCATCCGCGATTCGTGATCACAGAGTTGTTGACTGAAAAGATTAAAAGGAGTGGATTAGTCATGAACAGATATACTTGAAAGCAAGATAGACCCACCTGCAACGTTCACACTGTAGCAATGATAGGTGTACTCGGCGTCCATGGCGTCACGCCTTCTCCGGGAGGCCACAACCAGAGCGGGAGTGGAGTCGCTGGAGCGAGGAGTTGTGGATTCAGCGTTGGAAACAGATGTAGACTCTACACTCAGAGCAGGAGTAGAGCTCTCGGGGTTGACTGGTGCCAGGCGGGTGATGTTCAAGGCCACATTGCTCAGATCCTCGGCGGGGGGAGTGGGCTCAGCGGGCGTGGTCTCCACAGGTCCGGCGGTGGGTGGTGTTGGCGGAGTGGGAGATGGTGCCTCCGTGGTCTGAGGGCTCTGTGTGGTCTCGCTGGTGATTTCACTGGATGTGGTCTCCACTGCCTCCGACGTGGTTGTTTCAGCACTGGTGGCAGTTGTGGTGGTGTCCACTACTGGAGTCGTACTCTCCTCGACGGGGACTGTGCTCGGTTCGGGTGTGGTGGTCGTTGTGTCTGTCGAGGCCGCTGTGCTGCCGCCAGAGTTGAAGAAGTCCTCGTTACAGGCCAGAAGAGGTGCGTCCTTTGGCAACTGGGCGCAGTCGTCGCAGACATAGCACATGAGATCGGCGCGAATCACTACAAAAGTTCAATAATTTTATTATTTATTTATAGTGTTTGGGTTGGACCATATCAATTGACCCAAATTCTTTTCTAAACAAATTAGTTTTTATGGATACCATTTGTATCCTCAATTAAGAGAGCTCTTCCTATTTGTTTCCACCTTCCACAAATATTTCTATCTTTACGATTTCATCTAAAAATTCGGCAAAGTTGAAGGCCCTTACCCGTTTCGCGAATATTTTTATTGGAACCCGGGTTATCTATCGCTAAGTTAAAAGTGCTCTATTTACGGCTTAGGTACACACGCGATACCCGATAAGTTATGCCAAAATATATAGTATTCTTTATAGCATGTGAGCACCATAAATCAATTCAAAATCAAAGCTCGTATTCGGCGTATTATTTGCCGATTCTTTAGTATTAGTCTGCTTGCGATTGCTCTAAGGCAATGATCCCGCCCAAAATATTTTACTATATAGTATAGTATTATTTATTGGTCGGCTCACTCCCTTTTGGCAAAATCGATTCCATTTGCATGTTATCGTCATGGCAGAAGACTACAAATATTTGCCAAAGGCAAATACGGAAAGAGATACATAATACATACACTGCCATAATTGCTTTAATTGTCTTATCAGGGAGATGCTTCGAACGCCCCTAACGAACCGAACTAACTACTATCATCAGATCGGTTCGGCGGTGAGTCACCCATAGCTGGGTGATGGACAGCTATGATTATCCGACTGGGCGCCAAATCCCCTCCATTGATGATAACACTACTATCAGAATGTGAGGCTTCTTATCAGAAAGGGGTTATTGGAAACACGCTCGGCATATTATATCTACTTAGAAATATAAGAAAATAAAAGTTACGCTATCATTGACCAGAAATATGTAGAACTAAGTCGGACATTAAATTTTTCGCCACCATATATAACCATTGAATTATTGTGCATATCTCTGGCCAACATTTGTTGATTTATTATTCTAAAATTTATCATAAATCACTGTGATTGATGGCAAGTTATTGGGGGTTGGGGTTCGGGTTCGGAGGATCGTGAAGTCAGTTACCGAATTGTTTGGGGTTTAATGGCACGTGATAAGCGCCACCTTTGCACACTTTGAGTTACTCATTAATATTTTAGGTATTCATTCTTGTTTAATATTATTATTATTTTTGCTTGCAAAAGGCGTAGAAACAAAGGTGGGCTGTATTGGCTTATGTAAGTCAACAAACTCCGCATGATGGAAATGCAAATTACAAAAAATATACCTATAACTAAGTGACTTGAAGCACCTAAAGCAAAGTTCAGTCGGTACTACATACTACTTCCAGTTATATGCATCTTTTATTTTCTCATTTGGAAATAAAACAAGCTATTCTAAGATCTAGTTGTTTAAACCAAACCGAACCGGTATTTTTGGAATATATCAGTGCAAATCTTCTTTATGGTTTTTTCTGTTTTTTGTTGCAAATCTTAAATTAAATCATTCGCAATTGCGTCAAAAGATCGTGAACAGAAAAAAATGGATATATATATATATCGGAAATTCAGGTTCCGAAGTGGTGCTAATGGGCCAGACAAGTTTTTCCATTTCGGGTTAAATGTGTTAAGTGTAACTATAACATTTTCAATTAGCAGCTAGCCAGCTACATATCTGACATCCAGCCTCAATGTCAAATTTTCGACTGACTTTTCCTTTTCATCGGACTGTATGGAATAAATTAATCCGAAATCACGAAGGGAACTCAACTCCGCGTGACATTTCCGCATCAAAATCATAAAATTGGCAATAATTTGTTGCATTATTTATGACAGTTAACCGTTTTAAATGTCACCATTGTTGTTGATATGCAAAATATTATGGCGAAATGCTCATGATCTTGAATTTCGGATTCATTTTTGGTATGACATTCAAATATGTACTAATAACACTTGAGACACGAGTATTTATTTTTAGAGCAGCACTAAAAAATCCTAACAGATATGTTTATCGGACTTGAGGTGGGACTTCGCTGGGATTCGATATCAGATGTACCAGATATCTTTAAGACACATCAATGTTATCACGACACTTCTATAGCATTAAAGACCCAAAAGAAATCTTTACCTGGCAGGGTGACTAGTACCAGCAAAGAGCTGACCAAAATGATGTGACTTTTTCCGAGCATGTTTGTATATTTTTAAAAATATATATTTGTTATTGGATATATATCAAATATTTCTCGGATATATAGTATTTATACTAATTTGTGCACTTTTATTGTTTCACGTTTTTTTGGCAATTGTCTGGGTCTGGTTAGCGGTTTGTTAATTTATTTTAGTCGACCGCTGGTTGCAAATTCAGAAATTTAACTGAAAATCTTGTGATTTGTTAGAGACTTTTTATATGTGCTGCGCCGACTGCGACGTCAGCGGCTTCGATGCGTAAGAGCGGGAGTGAGAACGGGCTAACAGACAGAGAGAGAGAGCGAAGGCCAGCGTAAAACAAGTTTTTACTTTTCTTCAGTGATAACAAATTAATTTATAATGCAGAATAATTTTGATCGAAAGTAAACACCCAAAGAGACTAAGCTCTCTCTTAAACGATAATAGCGCCTCTCTCTAGCACACTCTTGGGGAAAATCGGGAATGCAAAAAAGGTTTTTCAGATAAACCCCGGGCTCAGTGATTCAGTTCTAGGATTATTGTTGTATTTTTTAGCCTGCTAATTGATTGTTACTCAGTTAATTAGTCAACAGGGCTGGTAGCCCTAATGGATGCATTTAATGCCCAATTTACATAATCCTGCCACTGTATTATAATCGCACATATCCCATGATTATCATTCAATATCAAGAGCACGCAAAACAAACAAATATCCGATTTAGACAACACCCCAGCCAAACAATTATCGAAGATTCTTTTGTGTCTTTGGGCCAATATTGGCGCACCTTTTTGGCACCTGTCTTGTGGCGGGCTCAGAACTTTTGAATCGCAAATAGGCGGCTAAATTTTCCAGTCGAGTGAGCGGCAAGGTCGTTTATACTCGAGGAACCCTTGAAATTCGCCAGCTGACCTAAAAAAATCACCTGAAGCGTCGAGGAGGGGCAGGGTCAACTGATAAGGGTCACAGTATGTGGGATTGGCTTACAGTGTTTGTAAATAATTTTTATATATATGTAATAAAAGTATTTAAGTAATTATTCAAGTACCAAAAATTTCCACTTGGTTTGAAACAAAGTAATTTTTATTATTCACGTTTTGAAATATTATTGGTTTTTGTACTTAAATTTTACACTTATATATATTAGTATTATAACCCTTGAATTTTATAATTACTGAAACATGTTTTAGCTAAAATCTTATCATAGATTTCCATCACACCCGGCCCTGAAACTCTTGCAGATCGTGAAGCATGTGCGTCCACCTATATATTCAAATATATATATTTTACTTTTGGCGATATCGGTTCGTGCCAAATGTTGGGTAAATCTGGTTAGTGCCGCCTGACGCATCATCAGAGAACTGAAAAGTGCAGACGGGAGATAAAAATTGTAAACTTCCCCAGTATACAGACCACAGAACAAAAAAATATATATATATTCCGATCGACGACATCACGTAAAGTGCTAAAAAGCTAAAGTCTCGATGACGATTCTCACAAGAGAGTTCTCATGGAGATTCTCTTCCAATACTCTTTGTTCAGAAAAATAAAAAATGCAATTTTTGGTCATGTTCGTCATTTTAACTTAAATATTTTACCGACTCCCGGAAACCTGAGCTGAAAATAAAACGGGGAAGCGATAATCCCCCCAAACACGAGCCCACAAATTGTGAATTACAAAAGGCCGGCATAAAAATTCCCCTCCTATATACCGACATACAGACCGCTGTAAATTATGAGCAACCTAACAAATTTGGCAGTTTAGAGCAAGTTTCCTTAAAGTAAGAATTTCGTTTCCTCATCGCCGAATTAAGAACTGTACTCAATTCCGGTGAATGACAATTTAAATGCCATAAATCTGGGCAAAGTTTTAGGCAGGTATTGCCACTCGACTGCCCCGGGCTTATCGGCCTAAACGCTTTCGGCCATTTGATCTGGTTATCAGTTGATCAGCTTTATCAACTTTATCAGTTTGGGTCGGCGGTTAGCATGAAGTCATGAAATTTAATTTGAACCGGGAGCACCCGATCGACTCATAGCCCCCATATAACTACCACCGTATACCACTCGTCACAACGTATCGTATCGTAATTGATTTCCCTCCGATACGACTACGGGCCTGCAACTCAATGAATGAGTGAGCACTTTCGCCCCAAAAATAATACATGGGTGTAAAAACCAGAATAAAAACTAATAAACAGATAGACCAACCATAGACGGGCCAAAGGGTCTGGGCGACCTTATCGATGCCAATTAAACAATTATGCGAAAATAGCTCAGGTGCGCTCATTGCCACCGAATTTAATAAGCGGTAAGCGTGCCATAAATAGACAAATCAGGTGCTTCCATAAATTTTAGGTCCTAACCCCCCACACCCAAAAATAAGTGAACTCAGACACCAAAGTGGAAATCGAAATCGAAACTCCGTGGGCCATATATATCTTTTGTATTTATGTGCGATCGAAAAGGCAATTACTGCCCACGGCTATAAGTAGATGTTTAGATCAGAGAGTGCCCCACAATGGACATTACTGCCAGTAGTACGATAGCACTGTGCCCGATAAGTCGACTGGATCCACTAATGGGCTGGTTGCATCCATCGTTGTGGCACGTTTGACACACACCGACCGTCCAGTTGTCGAAGAGCCCATCGCAGGCGGTACTCTCGTTGCCCATCCTGGCGTTGGTGCAGCCTCGCTTCGTGATTACTGTTTCGTTAACTGCAAAGATCGAATAAATTGTTAGGTGAGTCACTTCCAGATACCAAAAGGCATTCCTTCAATAATTAGTGGGTTACTTACGTATAAGCCTTACTGTATAGCACACTGGAATGGGAATATCGAGGTCCGCTTGCCGCCTCCTGCGTCGTTTATCCTCCTCCTCGTCCTCATCCTCTTCTTCCTCCTCCTCGCTGTACTGTGACTGGCCGCCATCACCTGCGCCTCCGCCTCCCCCAGCCCCTCCGGCTGCCGCAGCACCGCCAGCTCCTGTGGCACCTCCATTTCCGTTTCCGCCTGCCGGCATAATGCCCATGGTGGAGGACTCATCACTGTCATAGTCCTCCTCCCCGTCCTCTACGCTCGTAGAGGCAGGGACGGATGGATTTTGAGCTGGGGCAGGAGCTTCAGGAGCAGCAGGAGCCGGAGCTGGGGCGTTTTGAACGGGATTGGAACTGACAGGTGTGTCGGGTCCGTTGGAATTTCCAGGCAGGGCTTCGCACACCTCCATTTCGGTAAGTTGGGTATTCTCGTCGCAGTCTTCGCAGCTATAGCAACGAAGTGCTACAAAGAATGTTTATAATACTATAAGTCTTAGAACGATAAAGAACGATGTGTAGATATTTTTCCAGCACCCCATCAAAGATTTCCTAGATGGCTGTATATATGGATTTGATTCACAATTTTCCGCTCCTTAAAAGGAATACCTTAAACGATTTCTAGATCGATTCTCTATCATTCTTTATCAAAACCTCACAACAAAATTTTGGATCGAAATTTTTCACATTTTTCTGATGAAACCCCTTGAGAACCCGGATTTTCATATATGGCTCGCTGCGATGTCAATGTCTTCCACAATTTTGATCCGATTCTTAAAAGGAATACCTTAAACGATTTCTAGATCGATTCTCTATCATTTTTCACCAAAACCCCACAGTAAAATTTTGGATCGAAATTTTTCGCATTTTTCTGATGAAACCCCTTCAGACCCCTCATTTTCATATATGGCTCGCTGCGATGTCAATATCTTCCACAATTTTGATCCGATTCTTAAAAGGAATACCTTAAACGATTTCTAGATCAGCACTCTATCATTCTTCATCAAAACCCCACAGCAAAATTTTGGATCGAAATTTTTCGCATTTTTCTGATGAAACCCCTTCAGACCCCTGATTTTCATATATGGCTCGCTGCGATGTCTATATCTTCCACAATTTTAATCCGATTCATAAAAGGAATACCTTTAACGATTTCTAGATCGATTCTCTATCATTCTTCATCAAAACCTCAAAACAAAATTTTTTATTAAAATTTTCACATTTTTCTGATGAAACCCCTTGGAACCCAGGATTTTCATATATGGCTCCCTGCGAAGGCCATATCTTCCACAATTTTGATCCGATTCTTAAAAGGAATACCTTAAATGATTTCTAGATCGATTCTCTATCATTCTTCATCAAAACCCCACAACAAAATTTTGGATCGAAATTTTTCACATTTTTCTGATGAAACCCCTTGAGAACCCGGATTTTCATATATGGCTCCCTGCAATGTCCATATCTTCCACAATTTTAATCCGATTCTTAAAAGGAATACCTTAAACGATTTCTAAATCGATTCTCTATCATTCTTCATCAAAACCCCACAACAAAATTTTGGATCGAAATTTTTCACATTTTTCTGATGAAACCCCTTGAGAACCCTGATTTTCATACATGGCTCCCTGCAATGTCCATATCTTCCACAATTTTGATCCGATTCTTAAAAGGAATACATTAAACGATTTCTAGTTCAATTAGCTATGGTTCTGCATCAAAATCATAAGTTCTTCTTATATATGTACGTATTTTTTTTTCAAAATTTTCTGGGGGGCCTATTGTGAGAAAAACAAAATTAATTTCTTCCAATGACTTAAAAGTTATGTTCAGTGTATGGGAAAAACGGTCACACGACCTTGGACTAGTCCGTTGGCAGGTGTGCCAGTGTGCGTGAGGGTGCGCCTGCCTTATCAGTTCCGTCTTATCAGTTGGATTACTTTGGGGGGGGCACAAGGGCGCACCCCCACGGCGGGGTTCAACGTTGCGTATGAGCAACTTTTGCAAACTCGCTTCGGGGTCAATCAATTAGCATAGGTAAGGCTTACTTGGCTTTGATTTATGACATACCTGAAGCACCTGGGCCACAGCCAACGAAAACCAAAAGCGAGAGAAACAAAAACGAACGCATTCCTTCCAGGTGACTGAGAATGTGGGTGGGGGTTGAGGGTTTGTGGGCAGGCTAAACTTTCAATTTGCAAGACGTCAGAGGTGTCAAAATATGGGTGAAACTTTTTACTGATTGAACCCAAAAATTGGGAGCTTCTTTTCCGGGTTTTAGCCTATTTCTTGTATCGTTTTTGGTACCGCTCTGGAGCTACCGAAAATTCAAATTGTACTGACACATCGTACTTTCCGGAGGCTGTTCTTTCCTCTATCAAACAGAATTTCTTGTCTATAATTCGGGGCCCAGGGGTCTGCGAGGGTGGCAAATAATTGGCGGCATTGGTGAAACATGTCACATAGCGGCAGGGAAGGAAAAAACTAAGAAATACAGACGTACGCCTTGAGATAGCATCGCTCCAGAATCAAAATTAAATGTGTGAGACAGAGAAGGTCTCTGGGTGCGACAGGGAGAGATATGGATAAGAGGTCTGGCAGCGGAAGGGGAGCATCTTACATGAGTAATGGGAAAATTATCTTTGATTGTTAAAAAAAAAACCAAAAACAACAAACAAGAAATAGAAAACAAAATAACAAAAACAAAAAAAGGGAAGCGAAAGGTCAAATACCCTCATAAGATTTGGAGTTATGGAAAATTTTAAGAAACTTTAACTAGAGATTTACAGAATTATTTTAAATTAAATTAAAATAAAAAATATTTTTAAATAAAAACCCATGTACATTTTTTACTGTCTCACTGTCATACAGCATTTATTTGGTTACTTTTCAATGTTATATCCATTTATGAACTAAAATTATTTCGGCGCCAAAAACATGATATAATGTGCAAATACATTCCATTACATGTTGAAATACATACAGGGGGCGTGGTTCTCGTTTTTTTTTTAGGCATTATTAAGCTCTTTGTAATGTTTTTTATTCAACAGCTAAACAAAAAAAACTATTTTTTCTCTGGCATTTTCTAGATTTATTCTCAGCTTCTAAATTGCACATTTAATTAACATTTATTGCATTCGGATTAGTTTTAAATTCGCATTTTCGCATTATTTTGATTGTTTTTAGCGTGTGGCCTTTACAATTTTACAATAAGAATTTAAATTATATTTTCGTATTGCTCATGACCTAAGATACATTATGTTATATTATTTTCCCTCTATATTGCTTGAAAATCAAAGGCAATTGGTGAACTCCTATACTCATTCGATCCTAACAATTATCCATAACAATCTGCACATTTTAGTAATAGTAACATAATAAAGCTACAGTAAGAGCTAATGACAGAGGGTCTGAATCCTTGATATATAGGATATACACACTCATCCTGTAACTGAAAGTTTCCTATTTGTTTTCAAATCAAAGCGACTTTCTTTCTGTGGGTGGGTGTGTGTACTTGTTTGTTTGCTTACAATTCTAGGGTTAAAGGGAAAAAAGGGCGGGCTTAAAAGGATGGGGAAGGGGGAAGGAGAAGGAGAGTCGGGTGGGGTGTCCTTTTTTTTGTGGGTGGGGGAGTGCCATTGAAACACTTGTTCGAATCAGCGACATTGCACTCAAATATTTACAAAGTAAACGGTAACGGCAACGGTAACGCTAACGGTAACTCAACCTAAATGCAACCAACGCAGCCACCATCGCTACCACCACCACCCCCAATTTCCAATTGGGTTATCCTTGAATTATCCTGTTCTTTTTAGCAGCCCAGTTGGAAAAGGATCAGAGCCAAAAGGGCACTCATTGAAAGCGTTATGGCCGCCGCTCCATTGCAACGATCCGATTTACAAATATCACAAAAGAAGGCATCCTCCGCAGAGGTTTCTTCGCTCTCCGCCGGGTTCTGGGCCTGGCCGCCGTATCCTTGATTCCTCTGGCGCTGCTGCTGGTTGCGTTCACGCTCATTGGAGTCGGGGATGCGCAGTTTGTCCCGCAGGATCTTACAGGCATCCGAGTCACCAGTGTCCAGTTGGCAGAATCTGGCTGTTACCACTTTTCTGGTCTCGGCTGCAAGAAAAAATAATTATTTATTTTAATGTCTTATATTTTCTTGATAATAAATAAATTTCGAATAATAAAAATATAAAATAATAAAAATATAATAATATTTTTAGAAAATGTGTTCAAGAAGTTATTAGATCCCCTAGTATCCTCACAACTATCCAGTGCAATTCTTTATTTGTTTTTGGAATTTATAGTGTAATTCCCCTTAAGACTCTTCCTGGAAGTCACTAATCTAGACCATTAAAAACTCTGTCATTGTGTCTTCATATAAACTCGGGTAACTGCAACATATTATCTATGTAATAAACGAAAGCAAATATTTATTCTATTCTATCTAGATTAAACTAAAACTTACAAAAGCAAATATGTATATAAAATACCCTTAATATTATATAATTTATAATACACTTACGATCTTTGGCTACCACTTTTTGGCAATTCATGAGTGGAATTTTATTGGCCCCATTTTCGAAGTAGGCGAACTTGTTCAAATCAAACAGCCAGGTGTCCAGTGATTTCATTTTGTCCAACGTACATTCCTGAAAAGTTTTAATAAAACTCAATGATCTATGGCTTATTTTATTTTTTTGGGAAAACAATGAAAGAGTATTGATAGTTTTTGTTGAAAAGAATGTCGATTTTATAGAATTGCAACCTGTGCGTAACTATTTTATCTTATCTTTGGAAACATCCGCCGATATCGGTAACGATGCGTTTCCCCTACAGACCTGGTTATCACAGAATGGCCAGAATGCTGGAACCACTATTGACTTGGTTTACTTAGTCTAGTGAGTGCAAATATTAAAGTCTAATCAAGTCGTTTGGGCTTTATAGCCCATTGAGGAGTCATTTCACACAAGTGGGGAATCCCATTTAAAGTGTGTCACCTTTGAATATTTTATATATTTCATTTAAAAAGCTACAATTTTATTTCACAAGCTTATCAGTGGTTGCTAATATATATTCTAGTATATTTAGCAAAATCACATTTGCAATTTGGCAAACAAAATAAATAGATAGGATTAGTTTTGACTGCAATGAATCGAGTTTGTCAGGCAAGACACGACAAAAACCTACAATAAGTGATAAGATTTTATCAATAAACACTTTACGGTACTAGCAGTTCATATTCATAATTTCATCTTGACACAAAAGAATATATAGTTGGCATTACTTTGTCTGTTCTGACCATCAATAGTGTTTGAATTATTTATTTTGAAGACATGTTCGGTTATCGAAGTCAAGACACGATAAGATTTTGAGTTTGATAAATGTTTTCTGGCCAGTTTAAGAGGCTAAACATTTAGTTAAGTATTTTAATTAGACTATTCGTTTTAAATTCTTTATTAAAAAAATTTTATTTGAAGTCAAGAATTTTAATAGTAATATTTCTACCAAAGATATATTTTATATAATATTCCAATCGTTTAATTTCAAGAATTAAGTCATGAATTGTTATTTATAAAGGTTTTGTTTACTTAAACCTATTCTTTTAATGGGTTACGGAATGGAAATAAAAAATAAAAATTTTCTTTACATTTTCCTCATGATTTTCCACCTTTGTTTACTTTATTTTTACCTCATCCCATGATGTGAACTTGCTGGAAAAATCAGAAATGATAATCGCTCATCCTGTCGCCGGCATGAAAGCGACTAGAATTAATTCTACTAACTGGCTTTGAGATTTCTACAAGAAAATAAAATGAAAAAAAAATCCTGCCAGAGAGGGACTTGAAAGGTGGAAATTTACGTTGCTCGACTTGTGAAAAAGTATTTCCAACTGTTTGGCACGTGGCCGGGTCAGGTTTCTAACGTTCTTCCTTTTCCTGGCCCAAAAAGGTGAAAGATGCCAGTAACAGAAAATTCACTTAAAGGAAAAAAAAAGGGTTTGGGGGTTTGGAGGACCCAACACAAGAGGACGACGACGTTGCACGTTTCCGTTTCCGCTTTTGTGGGCTCTATTTCTAAATGGGCTTTTTCCTACATTTTTGTGCAAAATTTATGGTCTATGTAGTTTTAATTTGTAAGCCAAGCACCCGGGGCGCCTATTATACAGTGTCCTGTGCCCTGTGCACATTGATTAAGGTCAAAGTGGGTCCGATTAACACAACTGAAGGACCTCAACGACAACAGGTCCTGCCCCGGTTTCGTGCAGGTCGACAAGTCATCAATCAGTCCGGTAATGGGATGATGATTCTCGAACCGCATTTCCATCCGATTTATCAATCACTCACCTCGGCCACTATGGTGGAATTGGAGCCCAGATCGGCGCAGCTGGGATTATCGCTCGAATCGCAGACGAAGCATTTGATGGCCGCGCCTGTAGGATATGCAATATAAATTTGTAAACATGTTTCAGAATTTTTTGAATCACACAACCACACAGCACACACAACACACCGCACACAAACCATTTGAAATGCAGCCCATCATGGCCAAAAGCAATAAAATTCCCGACATCATTCGCACTGGTATTTTAGCCCTTTTCAGCCGTTTGATTTTGATTTGATTTATTTTGCTCCGCTTCACTTGGAAAATGAGGGAGATTTTTCAAATATTTTTCCACACTCGCGCGTTGTGTGTATTTCGCTTTTGGGCTCTGGGCTGACTGAAAAATTCAGAGGACCTGCCACTGCCGTTGGCCAAATGTGAACTGAAATTGGATGCCAGCTAGGCGAAGGCAATTGCCTGCGAAAGGACCTATGCTACAGTGAACCGAAACGACGACGTCATCGTTTCTCACCCGAATGGCACAAAACGAAGCGTTAGGGCTTCTCGGCTAGAGGAGTGGAAAGAAGCGTCCTTCGTCCTTCGTCCTGGGATGTCTCGCTGCGTGGGTGCGTTGCTCGAGTGGCTTCTGATTTCGACAGTAATAACGTCTTGGGTTAGCCCCACATGGCTGCAACAAAAACGAGAAACTGGCAACGTCAGAAATTATTTAAATTGCAAACTGCACCAGGCCAAAAGATGGCTGGAACTCGTCAAAAGAGCAAACTGCAGGACCTCAGCCAGTACCTCGCAAAAAAAAAAAATGCAATTTCCTTGTGGCCACAAAAAAACGGGGAAGCCTTTTTATTTTGGCCCCCGAACCAAAGTCCAACACCAACGACAATAAAAAGTCAATGGAAAATAAAATGGCTGAAAGAATTTCCGCCACAAAAGTGCCTATTTAAATAATCAAATTTTGGACCAAAAATAAAACGACTTTTTCAAGAGCCAGCATTGAAAATGGAAATGAAATGGATGAGGATAAGAATATAATCCTAGGAATAAGAAAACAAGGACATAAATTTTATCAGAAACTTAAGAAAAGAAACTTATCGAACATATTTATATTGGCATATAAATTTTATTTTTAAGTCCTAAAAAAAAGAAAACTCTATAATTTTTTTACGTTTACCGACATGATAAGCTTGGTAGCCATTGAAACTAAAATTAAATTATGTATTCATAAAATAAACGCCAACCGTTGGGTCACCGCGGCCGTAGAGATGGAAGGACTCCGGCGAGAGTCTGTTAAAATACGAGTGCCTGGGGAGTTGGTTAAAACGTGCAGATACCACGATAGTAGGGACTAGGCGACCAACGAGGAAGGATTTGAACGGCAGGTCCTGTGGGGGATTGAATAGAAACAACAAAGCATAGCAATTAGTGGCGCCCAAGAGCGAAAAACTCATCCGCATTTCTGCTTTTGCGGCTTTGCTTTCTCCTGACCTCGTCCACGGGCCACAGACGACACATCCTGAGCGTGGGCGCTTATTTATCGTTCCCCCATTGGCACCCATCCCCTAAGCCCCTCACCCCAACCCTCTCCTTTAACTCCTTGCCGTAAAATCCTTTCGTATCTCCCGAGGGGGCGGCACTGCAGCTGGCAAGCGTTTCCATTTATCATAAACAATGCGAGGCGTGATTGGTGTAGGTCGCGGCCCTGGCCCCAAAATCCGCGAAAAGTGTTGGCTAATGTGGCCGCTTGTTTTCTATCTGCCAGTGATAGTGCTGGCTAAAAGAAGCAGCAAAAAAATGGAAAAAACTACATAAAAGTCCAGGTGAGAGTATCGTTTTCACGTAAGTGGAGTAACAGACCGCAAAGCACTCAGGTGTGTGGTTGTTTAAAAGGCAGTTAACCTAATCCTCTTTTTGGGGTATTTGAGGGTCATTCCACCAAACTAAATCTTCGGTGGCACAAAGTTCCTATAAACCTCCATTTTAAAGCTTACCAATTCATTGTCGGAATTTCTTTATTAATATTAAAAGTCTTAACTCCTTGTATAAAAGTATTTAAAATATTTATCCTTGATAGTATCCCAAGTACAAGCGAAAAACTTGAAAAGAAAAGCATTTCAGCTATCAATTTCCGGCTAAACTTTTCACTTTCATCTTGCCAAGGCCCCTTTGAACCAAAACCTTAAAGCCATTTATTAAATTTCCCTTTCAGCAAGGACAGTAGTAAGAAATTTTCAAATTTTAATTAAGCCATGGAAATCAGAACCATTTTCAATTACCCTTTAGTGCTCAGCGATTTGCACGGCCATTGCTGGCTGTGGGCCATAAAAATGCAGCCTGTTGAGTGGCAATGGCCGAAAGCGACTACGCGAAACCAGAGCCTGGCCAATACCATGACGATTTCGTGACAAGGACACATTTTGGCGCTGTCTGGACAATAGGACGAAATTTTTCGCCAAATGGTAATGATGACGTCGTCGCGTTGATGTCATAATTCCATTGGATGTGGAAGAGGATCGCATGCCGGCACTTCATTTGCTAACAGCGACAGGACATAATTAAAAATGTTTACGCACGCTTCCGTTTCCGGTTGGCATTCCTTTGTGTGTTGTGCGGATGTGTGTTCGTATCCATCAAAGGTCAGAAAATGCAACCCATAAATTATGCTTTCGATTTTTACAACTTGACACATTTTCGCACCGAACAACCATACTGCGGCGGCTCGACTTTGGTTTACAACCTTTTTATCTTTAGGATCGAAAAAAAAAACACCGTGCACATCGTAAAACTTGGATGGTACGTACTACGAACCCGGCCATAAATTTTGTCTTGGCTGGCTAACAGAAAATAAAACATTTTGAGGGTGAAAAGTTTTGGGATTGTACTGGCTTACCGCCCACAAAAAATAGCCTTTAATTAGTTGAATTTTTCGCTTGGCATGCTAATTGAAAAAGTTTTTTCATGTTTGCAACCGCAGCAATGAAATATTTACGGTCTTTGCTTCTCAAAAGTATGTCAGAGACTCGATAATGTTGCTACCGAAATCCACCATCCATCCATCCTACAACCAGAACCAACCAGTTGTGTTTACTCTAGTTTAATTGACTTTTATTACGTATACGCACCGTATACCGAGCACACCCCGTCTCGGGATTGCCACAGCCAATTAACTTTGCCACCGGCAGCTGCCAAGGACGCAACAATGGCAACAGCCCCCTCAGGCCAGCTCTATTGCCGGAGCAATAAACATAAAACTTTATCGTTGGCCGTATCTGCAGCTTCTGGCCAAATCAATCGCAACAAATGCGCTTGCAAATGGCACGAGGTACTGCAAGGCAAGTCGTCGAATATTATATAAAACTCTTACTCTGGGATTATTCCGCACTATATACTCGCACTGCCAGTGTGTGGCTATATTTTATGGCTGATTGGGGATTCAACTAGCTTCGAGTTCCATTTCAATAAGACCTCAAATTTATGTTTTGGACAATCTAATGTGTTCTGTTAGGGAGAGTTGATTGAAGGACGAAGACGTCATCTCCGAAAATACCATTTCCGATCATCTCCAGAATGCTAAGCACATGAAATCAATTTGGCAGGCAAACAATGCCAAAGTACGTAATTTTTTCCAGCAATCACTTGCACTTGACTGCAATGGCAGCCTCAGGTGGGCCGATTGCGAGACAAAAGCAGCTTAAGCAGCTGGAAAAAATAGTAGGGATTTTTCTTCCATTTCTTTTTATTGTTTTTGCTGAGGCAACCCCTTGGCCTTTGTAGAATTTACAGGTCAATGAGCTGACTGAGCATGCCGAGGATGGAAAAACAAGTCGGGAGGCCCTCGAAGAGCTATGGCAGCAATTTGTGGGTGTCTCCAAGCTGCACGTGCCACAAAAGTGCATCACAAATAGTGGGAATATACATAGGAAGCTGTAGGAGCTGCATGCATCATCATCATCATCATCAACAGCAATCAGCTTTTGTGGGGTGGGCGTGACAAATACAAAATATCATCGCAGCATACTTCTAGGTGGCTTGAAAAAATATTTACTCTGCATTGCGTATACGCCCCGATGGCCACGGAACGTGACTCAATGCCCTAGGAGCTACACGCGTAGCTATGAGAATATATATTTATGAAGCTCGGGAAGGAGCAAAGCCAAATATAAATCATGCAGCTGATTAACATGCAAAATCTGAAGAGTTGCTCTAAAATGCTAACGAATTCCAAAGACAAATGTTGGTAAGCTTTATGGAGTTTGCAATCTTGGCATAACAATGAAAGATGCTCTCAAGGGGGATAACTATTATTTAGATAAAGCCAGGATAATATTTAGAACCTTTAGGTATTTTTACAACCAAATTACTGAAAGCCAAAAATATTCTGTTTAAGTGTGGTATACAGATCATAAAAATAACTTTAGCTTAAGGATGTTAGACTCTTAAGAAATTAAGCCCATTAAAAATAATCCCAGCAAATTCCTCTCACCATATCTTCCGACAAATAGCTTTGCTGATAGAAATTCCAATCCACAGAATTATGGTTATTGCATTGCAAAAATATTTGCACGCTTTGCGAGGGAAAACAAAACAACACTGGAAAAGACAACTTTCTTCCCCCAGAGACAAGAAGGTGGGGTTTTGTTTTTCATCGGAGGAGGACCACCCCGCGTATGCGCAATTTGCGCGTAATGACATTTATGGCTTCTTACTTTTATGTTGCATACTTTTTGGAGCTTCGCTCAAGTGTGAAACTTTGGGCGAAAAACAATTGCTTTTGGCTATAAAGCGTAAAGTTCTTAAAAATGTTTCCACATTCTTGCTTGCCATCATTTCTTAATTAAAAAATAATTATAAAAAATAATTTACACCTGGGACTTGGTAAAAAAAAACGTATGACAAGCACGCAAAGGATATTGGGGGATGAACTGTAAGCATAATTGTATTTTAAACATCAAATATAAATAAATATAAAAACCAAAAGACAACCACTTTCACATTCTGATATCCGGCAGGACTACAACCATAATAAATGATTTGTACAGCATTTCGGGCGAGGGCGTTCTGTGAATTCAAAATCAATGTTTTTTATGTTGGCGCCAAGCTGTCCACGAAAATAAAAGGAAGGAATGACTGAACAGACCGAGACAAGGCTGCCAATGATCCTGAGGAAGTGGTCGTCGATGTGGGCGTTGGGGTGGTTGGGTGGTGGCAGGATGCTGAATGCTCAAATGCTGTTTCTGTGAATAAAAGGCGCCATCCTGTCGACAGAACGCACCCATAGACAAAAGCTGCAGAACATTTGAACTGGCGACGACAGAACACAAACGCTAACGCATGTAGGTCGTCCCCAGCATTTTGTATCTGTATCTGGATTTGTAAATGTATCTGTGAGAGCGTATTTCCGTATCTGTATGAGTGCAAAAGACAAATAGCAACTGGCTGCGCATTAAAGTTACTAGCCACAACCAAAAAAATTGTCTACACTTCTACAATCGTCTAAGTTTCTATTATTTTTCTTTTTCTAAAAACAATAATTTCTCTAGCCTTCTTCAAAAAGTATATAAAATAATGTATAGTTAAATAAAGTATATAATATTTTTATGTTTTTTTATATTTTCCAAGTGTATCAATGTGTATCTGTGAGAGTGCGGTTCTGTGCTTGACTTAATGGGCCAACATGTCGTCAGGATTCTCGCATCCTCAAGAATAAAACTAACAAAGTTTCCCTATTATTTTTGGCCTGCGTAGACAGTGACTTTGACTCTGGGCCACAAAACAAATTCGCCAGACATTTTGGCAACAACTATCAAGGATAGACAGAGTAAACCGCCAAAATCTGAAAGAGAAGGGCGGGTCCTTGGTCAAGTTATGCGTATGTCCTGCCGCTTTTCATATGAAAATTTCGATTTTATATAATTGCCGACACATTTGGCACGCATTGCTTCCTTTTAGCTGTTCAAAGTCCTGCTCCTAGCTCTGCTCCTTCCAATTTATTATTGACCAAAGTGATTTAAGTGCTAAACATAAATAATTGAATTGTTGTTGCCATCGATTATTTATGGACAACATTGTGGTTTGTTTGAAAAGCCCAATATTTCATATGTAAAATTGTTAGATTTTAATGAAAATGTAATTTCTTAAAGGCTCCGCAAAATTCCATCCAATAATGGCAAAGAATATTCATTAAATTTATTTCTTCGTGAAACTCTGCTGAGTTCACTCTTTTATTTATTTACTTTTATTCTTTTCCATTTCATTGCTCGAATAAATTTAATTTTATTGGTTTACTTTCACCTTTTCCATTCCCCAGCCATTTTCTCTGCAATTTTTCTCCATTTCCTTGGAAACTTTTTACAGACTTTTACAGTCTTAAGAGAAAAAACCCCAAGTAATTTTCAATTAAATATTAAATTCTTATATTTTCACAGAAATTAAATACAAATACAGAACTAAAGTTGGAATCAATCGGAATGTGTATACAAACTAAGTATGGCATAAATCAAAGAACTTGGTGCGATGTATTTAGGACTTAGCTTAACCAGTTACAGATTAAGGTACTTTTTGGATACGGGTCTTCTAGGACTAGGCTTAGATCTAATTCCTAAGTACGGCGGCCATGGCCAGACTGACCACGGTGGCGATTAGACTGTAGCCCACCTGGCGTGCTCCCAGTAGGGCGGAGGCTCCATTGCAGCCATCGCCGTTGCAGGTGCAGACCACCTGCTTGTAGCCCTCATTGTCGGCGGTGAAGCAGGCATTCTGAACTTTCTCCGGGATCCAGCCACAGTTCCTCACAATCCTCTGATTGTCGTTTACTTCGAACTTGATCACGGTCTTTCGGCAAAACGGCACTTGGCCATCCTTAATATTGCATTCCTTCAGAAACTGGTCATCTCGCTGGGCACGTGGAGTGTTTACCACGAGACTGGCGCAGTCCTCGTCTTCATGGGAGTTGCACTCGTGACACCGAATAGCGGAGACTGCAATAGGATAATTTTAATATTTATTAGATTTTTAATTAAAGCCTAAAAATAATTTTAAGCCTATAATTGCAAACCTCTAATGACATTCAAAGGCCGGGATACTCGCCCTTTTCAAAGTCCCCGACAGTACTGACATTAAATTATTTTATTAGCCATCCACATAGACCCCTACCTTACCCGATCCCCTCTAGCAACTGTCGACAGGTGAAGCTTCTGACTGACAAACTGACTCCAAAGTGACTGCAGTAACCTGAATAATTGCATGTCAACTGTTTTGCCTGAAAACAAAAAATAAATGCCGAAACATCCAACGTTTGGCACGCGACCAGGCCAGGGAAATGCAAAAAAACACTTGGATTGCCATCGCCTAGAGTTGAATTATGGACGAGGTCCGGTAGACCTAACTAGAATACTTTTTACCCTTCTCAATATAAAAAGAATAAAATTTAAAAAGCTACTTAAATATAAACATTTAAATGACTTCCTTTTTAAATTTTAAAAGCCATCTCGTCTTTAAAGCATAAACCAATATACCCTTTGAACTGTAGATTTTAAAAACAATTCTTTATTCAAAACCAATTAAACCTTTTATCAATTTCCTAACGAATTTTTTCTGAAATTCATTTGACAGCCCAAGTCGAAATGGGTTACCATTTGACAGAAAGGACTAAGAATCGTAACCTTTCAAGGCATTATTCAAAGGAGTGTACCTATCCTCGTAGGACTAGAAGGCAAGAAAAAAGGAATCCAACCAAAGGGCAAGGACATGCAGGTCAATGTAACTGAGAGACCAGACTTATAATTCGAAATATGTCTGGTCCTGTCAGGATTCTAAATGTCAGTTGTAGTACAGGGCGTATGCGCAATGTTTAGGTGCGAAAAGCAAAAATTAGAGCCCATTGGTGGCCACTCAGCCAACTCATTAAGTAGTTAAGCTCATCTAGCTGGTAAGCCCTGCAAACATTGTGTAATAAAAAGTCACCTGCCGTAAAATCCACAGTTGCAGTTTCAAGTTGCCATTCCAAATTCGGAATTTGCATATTTAGCATTTAGCATTTTCCATTTGCATTTTACATTTGCTGCATATTCATGCGGCTTTTCAGCAAACTTGAACTTCTAGAAGGGAGCAGAAGGGTGGAAAAGCGGAAAACTGAAGGAAAGTTGAGGCACCCAAGCGTAATATCTCTATTCTATGTTTGCCTTTGTGGTTGCAACCTTACACTTGACAATTGTTCGCTAATGAAACGCGCTCTTGAAAAGTGCGGGGTAGCAATGGGTCGGCAGGTCTTTATTTACCATCTGGCTGGGCTGGACTGGACTCTATTTATCCAACAGATTACTGGGCAACAGTATGTGCAAATACTTTCAATATAATTTAATGCCATTTAATGCTTCCCTTTAACAGCCGAGTGTGAACTGCGAAATCGCTTCTACAATCAAGCTTACTCGCATGCCGGAGAATTCAAAGGCATATTCGTATGCGTGAGAGATTCTGGCTGTTAATTAGATTAGGCTCTGGTTTAAAAAAAAAATTAATAAAAGCACGACATGCACGTGATTATTAAATTAAAAGGAATATCTGTCAGGGGGTCACATTGAGAGGAAATATTAATTGTTTCATTTTCTTTAAAAGAAACTTCTATCATAAATAATTGATTTAAGCTTTGAAACAAGTTCATTCCTAGTTCATTTCTAACTAGATCCTATTTTAGACTAATCAATTTGTAGATGATTTATTATGTTGAATAGAAAACCCCCAGTTTTCCCCCAATCCGAGCAAATCAATTAAATTTATCCGCTAGCTGGTTAGGTGGTATTTTGGCCAACTTTGTGATTCATCAGCTTCAGCCAAGTGAAAAGTGTTGGGAATGGGGTTCCACTTGAGTGGATCGATGGCTTGATGAGTTGCGGTTGATTTCATTCGATTTGAGGCAACACAAAAAAATCAATCAATTTGCAAAAACAAATTCCAAACATCTGTAAAGTGTTGGCCAATCAATTGGCTTATTGTTTTGGACCAACTGGAAGGTGGCTTCTATTTGATTAGCACCCAGAGAAACATTCCCCTGACTTTGTATTACTTGTACTATATTTTATATATTATTTATTATGTAAATTTACCTGATAAGAGATTGGAAAGCACTGCCAGGCAGACGGCGTACATGAATATCGTGGTTGACATTTTTTTGTGGTTTGATTAAATCAATTCCTGATTTTAATAAAGATATACAGCTGAGTTATCCAACGCTGATGCTGTAAAAGGTAACAAAATCCACAGGTTATACATATACTATTTGTGGGTTATTTATTGTTCTAGCTTGATATTTGTTTTCATTTGTAATTTGATTAACGCAAAAAGCGGCGGCATATTCATTAGCATTGCTTCACTATAAAATATAATCTATAAATGATTGTTGTATATGATTTTTATTTTATTTTGAAAACCGGTATTGGAGCGTGGCCGTTCAACGTGACAAGTGCTAATATTTTGCTAATAATATTTAAATTTCTTTTATTTATTTATAAGCTGTATTCAATATTTGCATATTTTGAAAGCGGCACAATATTGAAAATGGGTCATACAAAGTGAAATAAACAAGCACACATCTTTTAAAACAATAATCCTTGTTATATTTAAATAAAATATACTGTTAATCACCTCACAACAATTAAAATGCACAATTAAATTATATTGTAAAGGGAGCCAGACGACTTGACGCGATCACTGTCGAGATGAATCTGAAAACTCGTATTGAATTTTTTGAAAAACGTTGATTTTTCAAACCAGCGCGCTCGGCAAGCAGCCGAAGATCTCTTTCCCGAGAGAGAGATCTCTAGGGAGAAAGAGAGACTTTAACTAGATCGGCCCTATGGGGAAAAATATGAAAAACTTCCGTCACTGGATCATCCATACAGGGTCTTATATATGCATGTATTTGTGAACAATATAAATGGTTTCAATGGGAGGGGGGATGCTCTCCAAGGTAGCTCAGCCGCTGCATTGATAAGCTCCGGCTTCGTTTGGTTTCAGCTTGGTTCTTAACCCGAAATCAAAACGGAATCCACTGGTTAAAACTGGTCAAAACTGAAGTGACGTCACTGGTACATAGGTAACAAAAAAATAAAAAGTAAACATGATCACGTTCACTACCTAACAATAAATGGCCTTCCATTTAAATGCCTGATCTTTGAAACTCTTTGTTTATGGTTATTGAAAATGGGTTAGGTAGATTTTGAGAAACATTTATATATTTTTAAGTGATTTTTTACTAAATGTAAAAATATAAAAAACATCTGTCCAAAGTTTTAGAATATTGTCCTTTTTTTATTGGATTATTTTATTGTTTTATTTTGCAAAACTAATTTTTTCGAACTAATCTAAGAAATGCTTGTTTTTTCCAGATTTAACGACTAGTTCTTTAATAAAGAACTGCCATAAAATTTAATTAGTATTAATAATAAAACCTTCTAACTATTATTCTCATTAAACAAATTTTTTAATTGTGCAATTGTGTTAATTTAATGATCTGAGCTAATTTTTGTTTTTATGAATGGAAAATCCGGGACTGTTACGTCGCAATGTCATTGATATTTGTTTGGATGATTGTCTCAGATCGGATCATTTTGGTTCCGGTGGTTTTAGAGATACGAGGCGATTTCCGACCATGAAAACTTGGACTGTACTCTATGGTAATTCCCCTTATCAACGTCCCGTTGCCCGAACGTTTAGTTAAAACTGGTTCGCACCTCCAAAAACTCAGATGTGCGGGTTTGGTCTGGTCCACATCGGCAATGGAGCCCAGACATCCCGACTCTCCGATCTATTGAGGAAAACACTGGACCGTCGAGCTTATCTGTCCTAGTTCAAGGCAGTTTCCACCAAGCGATCCAGCATTTATTTCTTGACTCATCATTATACAAAATTTTTTGAAATCCACTTGCCTACCGATTTTTTTTGCTTTCCTTTTTAATTAAGTGTCACATTTTGCAAACAATGCAACTAAATTTGAATTAACACGATGCTGGTGTTTCTGCTGCAGTTGTTTGTTTGGAAACTGAATAAAGTCAGCGTCTAGTTGTCGGTTTGAGCCAGTTTGAGGCGGTTGTTTGGTTAAATCGTTTCTTTAATCTTTACAACAGTGGAAACTTTTTATAAGAAAGTTTATGGGATTTTTCTTAATAATAATAGAGATGAATGAGTATTTTTTTGGAAATAAATCTGAGAAATACTTTAAGGATCTATCATCCTCTATTAACCAAAAAAACGTGATAAGAATAAATAGTTTGTTTTTTAGTTTCAAGAATTCAGAACCAGGAAATATAAAAGAACCAGGAAATATAGGTACGTTTTTATCAAAAAATGTTGTTTCTTTTATCAAAAAGTCGTGAATATTTTGTGACGCAAGCTGTCGACACTATTTTGTTCTAAAATTTGACTTAAAGGCTTGCCTATTCTTTTAAATATTTAAATAAACTTAAATTTAAAAGGTTTATTACCTATAAAGTGTTATCCTTAATTCCTTAATATTTTATAAATGAAATACGTCTTGAATTAAACTCCAACTCCAATGTAGAACAAAAATTCAGAGTAGAACCAAACCGCTGCAAATCGAATGTGTAACTGAGTGCTGTGGAAATTATGTCTTTGGCTTTAGGCAAATGGCATTGGATTCAGATCGGATCGGATCGTATAAAATTCATAAATCAGCTGATCGCTGGGGAACACAATTTTTTATACTGCGTTATTGGGAGGTCAGACTTTGGATTCAATTATAAAAACAAATTCAAGCAAATGAACAGATTCTTGTTTGCTGGAACCGGTTTGCAAATGTTTTTTTTCCGATTTCTAGAAAGTGGTTCCTGTAAAGGTAACTCCCCCCAAAATCTTCTCATACTTAATGACCGAAAAACACAATTAGGGCATTTATTTTTTTTTCCAGACAAAACAAACATTAAATAAATTAAAGTCAAGATTTTGAGTTCAATGTGCCAATCGTAATAGGGGGATTTTATTCAAAAAACTGGGGTAATTTTTTGTATAAAGCTTTTAGTCAGTTCTACAACTTGTTAGAATTGAAGCTTGAAAGCTGTAGATTAGAAAGCATCCACTGGTCTAAGTCTCAATGCTATTTAAATTTAAGCAATTTGTAACTAAATGTGTTTGTCAACATTTTGATTATGCGTACTTTAACCCCAAACCAAACTCGAAACTCTTTACCCACTAAGACCTATTTATAGACGTGAATACAATAATTTAATAGCATCAATTGAGATGGATCTGAGTGGAGAAAGGACAGAGGGGTACAGAGACCCATGTCTGGTGGAAATCTTTGCCTCCCAAAAGGGCGCCCCTTGGATCTTCATCAATTTTGCGCGCTGATTGAGGCACAAAAGCAAGGCGAAACGATCTGCAAATATATACACATATATGTACATAGTATATATAGAGAAACTTAATTCAATTGGCCAGTGTCTTGGGGCAGTAGCAATGTAGGCTGCAAGAGGAAGCCTACGATTAAGCTTAATTAATGCACTAGGCAAGATTTATGCTGGGGCTATACGAGTCGCATAGACTTCTCGGGGATTTCACGTGTGCGCCTTCCAGATTTGTTGATTAAGTGTCTGGACGCCTAGTTGAAGTGGCGCTCAGGGTTATAAGTCCAGTGCACTGCCATCGTCTAATTGCGAATTCTAATTGTACATAGCTATTTAAATCAACATAAATAATTGAAGATATTGGGTTGCTAAATGTGGGACAAATTAGAGGTATAAGGTCTTGAAAAAACATAAGATTTGTGGCTTTATTTATGGGTAGGACTTGCTAGTTAAAAAATCTTTGCTATTTTAACTTTGAGCCACTTTAAGAAATTAATTTAAGGGCTTTCAGAATAAAGGGTTTTATTTTATTCTCCAGATGCAATAAGGGATCTATTCCTAAGAGAAACTTCTATAAAATCACCCATTTTGTAGCCTAGTGTAGAGTGAGACAAGGGCTTTCGCATCTCCTGGAACCCGAAAAGAGGACGCAGCTCACACACTCTCTAAAGCTCCAGAAATCGTAAAGCTTTTAATGGCTAATAGACCGAATGAGGGCCGAGACTATAGCTGAGGCTGAGTCTGGGGGTCGTTCCCCATACGCCCCGTGGGCCGCCCCACCGCTCGGCAGCTTGGTGGCTCGCAGCTGCGCTCGTGTGCGGTACATTTGGCGAGTGCGGCTGCTGCTTCGACCAGTCGTTTGCCGTTTGCCAACCGTTTGCCAGTGTTTGCCGAGCGCCGTGAGCCGTGAGCACTGTGTGGGATTTTGCAAGGAATTCATTAGAACAGATAGCAACCGACCAGCCGAATCTCTGTATCTGTATATCGTTTAACAGCGACGCACATCAAAAATTTAAATCAATTTAAGCAGAAAGCGAAACAACTTGGTGCTCAACTTAACGAGTGTTTTGAAAAATATATTCAAATATATATTAGAAATGCAGTACATCTATGTGATTAGTGCGCTAATTTTGGCCATAGCCGTGCAGCAAGGTAAAAGGATTTAAGCATTAAAAGGATATAAGCTGAAAACCGCTCAACGGAAAGCCCAAAAGTCGCGATTACGATTACATAATACGGGATACGCTTGGGGCGAAAAAAGCGGGCGCTGAGATGGGGAGGGGGCTGTGGTTGGAACTGGGAGAGCTGATGGTGGTGCCGTCTTGACGCCAAAGGACAAAACCCATGTATCCTAGCCGGCCGCCGTGGCGCCTTTTTCACGCACACTATCTTGCTATTTGCATTCAATAGATATAAGCTCCTCGAGTTCCTTGAGTTCTCTGAGAAAAGTTACATTTTTTTCTCTACTTCATTGGCTCTCTGCCACAGCTTTTTCTAAGGGTGTACCAGATAAAAAAGAATTAGGATTTGGAGAAGGGCGTTTGACCCCTGCCCTTACCCGAGCCCTAAAGTGAGTTATCCGACACCCAATGATTTAGTCTCATACACTTTACGCACAGCCTAGAGTGGCCCAGGATATAGTTAAATGGGATTCCCCACAAAGTTTTTCCTATCTTACTTCCGCTTCTTTTCTCTACATTCTTCGCTCAACTTTCCCAGCACATGTGTGTGTATGTGCAAGGATAATATAGGACATGCGCACTCTATTTGGTTAAAGGTCCTGGAGGGCAGTTGCAGTAATCCGACACCCCAAAACCCAAATATTCCATTGGTCTTATATAAAAGCATCTTCAAAATACAAAAGACTGACAAAAGACAAAAAGTAAACAGTTGGAAAAAAATCAAAATAGGGGGACTTCTGTATATGTTTATATATAATATATTTTTTTGTTGTCCAGGCATTGCAATCAATGCAATTTAAACCTATTTAACTGTAACAAGTCTTAATTGTTCATAGTTCTGGTTAGACAGTTCAAAATCTATTGGGATTGAGGCTTAAAATGTAAAACGTATTAGGATTTATTAATCTGAAAATATTTATATTTTATGTACAACTCTTTTATCAATTAATTTCTTTCCTAAAAATCATCCCCATTGTCCCCCCACTTGATGTACTTCTAGCTCATAAAGAAGCTCATCTTTCCCAGCATCTTATTTCATTGTTCTCCAAGCTTCTTCGCCTAAAAGCAGACTCATTTTTTTGGGTTACGTAACCCGAATCGCCAACAATGGCCGGAGGGAGTTGGCCGCATAAGGCACAAAGTTATTCGAGCCCATTAGCCAAGTCGATGTCTCAATTAGCAAGCCAGTTGGAAGTGCCAGTGTCTGGCTCTAATGGAGGCGTTGAAGTCTTCTGTGGACCCATCCTCTGTGAATACACTGGCATTTCTATGCCATTCTCCATTAGCTACTTGCCATTGTGCCATTTTTGGCACAGCGTGAACCAAAAGCGCATCGCAAGTTGCATCATTTCGAGATGCGGCAAGGGACAGTCCAGTCCACACCCGACTAGAGGAGATATCCGTCTCAGTTTTGTATATTTGTAAGATTAAATAATGCGAATCTCGTGTCGCGCACGACCTTAAATTCAATTTAGCTAAGGTAGCCCCAGCCATCAAAAGTTCCACTCGCAGGTCTCTTTGTATATCATTTCTAGTGGGACTATAGCTTTGTCCGATATTTGTTCACATTATTTTTCCTTTCATCCGAACACTCATTTTTTGTGAAACTATTAAGGTTAAGTATTTACTTGGAATGGAAATATTTTATTTCTAATTGACATTTTCTTGGTTATGGTCACTCAAGTGGAATATTGCACCTAAGATGCAGGAAAATTAATTGAGAATAGAAATTAATTAAGGATACTCAAGGCTGCTTAGTTACTATGCTTAGTTAATTATGTGCTTTAGATATTATTTATCTAGAGAGTAATTAAGTTTGAGTGGGTTTTTGTGCGTTAAGATATGACAAAATATGTTTATACGAAACATTCCCATAATAATGTTTTATTTTAAAGCTCCACAAGCAGGAATCTTATATATTTTCCTTTAAAAACTCTTTAAAAAATTATAAATTATTATATACATATTTTTAAAATTTTATTTTCAGGCTCCGCCATTAAATGTTTTGTCTGCAACAGCCATAAAGATGCCAACTGCGCACTGGACATACCACCCGAGAGCTTGCAGAAGGACTGTGATGAGCAGCACTCGTCCCGGGGCAAGGGAATTCCCACCTATTGCCGCAAGATAACACAGATCATCGAATTCTCAGTAAACAGCCGTAAGTTCAAAGAGAAAAAAATATAAGAAATATTTAATATTAATACAAATCCATTGACAGTGCCCCCAGATAGCCGAGTGATAAGGACCTGTGGCTATCAGAACCAGACCTCCACCAACTACTGCTATCAGAGGGCTGGCTTTGGAGGACGCCAGGTGGTCTGCTCCTGTGATACGGACAACTGTAACGGTGCTGGGGCGATGAGTGCCTCCGTGGTGGGTGTGGCAGCTATGGTGGGTCTCCTGCTGGGCGCCTGCCAGTGGCTGCAGCGTTAAGGAGTCCGGAGAAGAGGGTGCCGCCTCAGTTGTTTTTGTTTGTTTTATCGATGCATCCACCCAGTTTTTTGTTTCGTATTGTTGCTTACTGTTTTGACTTCTGTGACCCTTTCACCGCTTTCCCCCCCATCTACAAGGTCCACGCGATGAGCTGCTCCAGAGTCTGGTAATATATACATATACCTATCCATAATATAACACAAAATAACTATTTAATTTTCAGCTCTGGGCAAGCCTGATTTTATAACATTTTTTGAATGGAATGAACCGTAAAAAGCTTTATACAAAGTATTAAATATTAAAACATAATTCCTTAAATTGAAGTGTATATAAAAATATAAAGAGATCAGTAACAATTTGGCCAATATAACCGTTCAAATCTATTTACATAAACATTTAATGAGAATGAAAAATAACGATATAAAACTAAAACCTACCGCAGTTGAAAGTATTTAAAAAAAAACAAACATCCCGAAAATAAACGAATAAGTCAGAAAAGACGCCACAAAAGCTAAACAATGTTGAAATTTAAGGCTACCACAAGGAAAATCCCGATATAATAGTAGAAAATAAAAACTATAAATGTTAACACTTTTTGTCTAAGTTTTCTCTAATTTTTATTTTCATAAGACTTAAAAAAAATCTTTAAAAAGCAAGCAGAAGCGCCACATAGAAAAATAATAAAGTATTTAAAAAAAAGCGAAAAAAAATTTAAAACACTTTGTAGATTAATTAGCAGAACGATCGAGACGTAATGGAGGAGGAATCCAGAACCAAAGGAACTCCTAGGATAGTTGTGACACGCTAATAGGCGCCACCACGCCCACATCTACTGCACTCCCAAGTGAAAACACTCGTTGTTGTAACCAACTGCCAAAAGAAACCAAAAAATAAATGAAAATGGAAACCCTTTGAAGCAATTTCACCAAAACCAAGCTAGGAGATACCAAATCCCCCAGAGGAAACACCAATGCTCTTTTTGTCCATCGTAGCAATGTTACAGAAACCAAAGCAAGAAATACATCATTTTTTAGTTCGAATAGCAAAATAACAGTTTATAGTGACAATTTTTTAGTTAAGAATCTCCTCTAAATGCAATATTTATAATGCAATAAAATTGTAAAATGTTTAAAGTGAAAAACAATAAATATGAATACAAAAGTTGAATGTGTTTTTTTTAGCTCAGAGATCTACCGAAGTCATGGCAGTATAATTGACTTAACTGAGGATTAAGGGTGATTAAAAAATATATAATATATAAATTGGTATAATCGGAAAACTAATGCACATTTATTTTTACTTAAAAATATCTGAATTACAAAAGCTAATATTTGATCATATAAAAAGTTTAAAAATGTACTTTTTGAATAAGATTGAGCTAAAATTAAAATTGTTATGAGTCTAAATATATAATCTAATATAAAATTTACTAAATCAGGGAAAATTAAAATCGGAACACGCCCTCTCGCATCAGATAAGCGAATTATGCTGCCTACTCCAAGGTCTGGACTTGACTTGAGTATAAGCAATTGGATTACACGAATAGGATTAACTTAGCCAGCTAAGAGTCTTTGTGCAGGACCCTCTTGAGGGCCAGGAAACAGTGGCGGGTGCTGAGGTCGTGGTATCCCACAGGTCCTCGCTCACAATCTGCACACACCAGGAACTTCTTCCCATTCACCGAATGCGAAAAGCCAATGTTCTCGAATGTCATCATATCTTTGACAAGCCAGAAATGCTTCAGGGACTCCGTGGTCAGATCCTCAGACGTTCTTTCCTGTTTTTGCATCATCAGGGGCACATCCACCTGTCATCAAAGCAAAAACAATGTAAATATTGTAAAGGCCACTTCATCCAGCAGTCACCGGCACTTACTTCCTGTTCATCATAGCTTCCCTCTTGGGCTTTTAGCATCAAACTGTTGCAAAACTGGCAGCGCACATTGGTCTTGTTCTTACCATCAACTATTTGTTCCGGAAATGCAGCTTCCTCAGTCATTTTTCAAAAATTTAACTTATTTTGCCAACCGAAGTGTAAAGAATGTTGCAGCCGTGTTGAACAAGAATGAAACAGCTGATTTGCAACACTTGTCCCAATGCTGTCCCAATTAATCGATATAAATATTAATCGATAAGTGAATTGGCGCAAATATTTAAAAATACTTAAATTTTATTTTATAATCCTGTTGATTAAAATTTACGTGCATTACTAAGTTGCTTTGTATTCAGACTTAACACTGTTGATTGATTAGACTAACAAAAATTTCATAAATAAAACCTTGCAGTTAGTTTTAAAATTTATGTTTCTCTTCAAATATTTCTTAGATGTGTAAATGATATCTTATGATTAAGTTTGATAAAAAAATATTGAAAAAATTATTGGAAAGTAAATTTTTTTTGAATTTTCCTTAGTGTTTCCCTATAAAAACATTTATGGTCTTTATCAACTCTATAAGCTTAGATTCCGATAGAAGAATCCGATATTCCACCAAGGCTATGGAAACACTGGTCGCCATTTTCTTCTTCTCCTATCTTCCTTTCTCCGTGTGACTTTCAGCGAGGCAGGTTGCCCTCGTCCACATTAGGATCCTATTGGATTTACAAGGGATTTTGGCCGGTCAGACCAAGTAGGTTACGAAGAGATCTTCATGTTTGATAGCTAACCCTCAAATAGATCTGTCACATTGACTCACGTGTTCGTTTGGTATTCGTTTTAACTTTTCGTTACTCCATTTTTATTTTTTTTTTGGCATAAGATTCCACACTCAACCGGACAGCCGGAAGAACATGAACATCATCCCCATCTATCAGCTTCAACCAGTTACGGCACAGTCGGCACGCATGTACCAGCAGACCTATTTGGACAGAACTCGTGTGGTCACTGACACATTTGTACAAGAGCAGGTTTCCCAAAGCGCCTGGACGATGGCTGCACCTACACCGACGGTTTTTATTCCGACCAATGCAACGATCGTGCCAGCACAAGCGACTTGTGTTCAGGGCTCAAATCCCAGCCAGCAATATCAGTATCCGGGTAGCTACATGGGTCACATGGCATATCTGGCCATGCCGGGAGTCCAGTACTATGCAGCCAGTTCAGGTGAGTTCTTTGAGAAAACTTTATTATTGGAAAAGATTATTGGATTTGGTTCGTCTTTTAAGCTCAATTTGCAATCAATTTTTTACTTATGTATAAAGATAAAAACGTGCATATTTACATTTGTGTTTAATCCTGATCATTTAGTTGTACATATAAAACCTGAAAAGGCAACATTTAATCCTTAAAATTATCTTTATCATCCCATATGTTAAAAAATAACAACATTAGAGCAAATTCTTGAATAACAAACTGGCGAAGAACTAGTTCCGGTGAACCAAATTTGTGGTGAACTACTCACATGTGAACACGTGGAATGCAGCTACCGTTGAGCTTTGAAGACTTGTTTTAAATCTTATACAAGATGTTTATTTATTTTTTATATCCTAAATATTATTCATTCCATAATTTAAACGATTTTCTTAAAAATCCCCCAAGTTTAAAGTCCTAAACTGACAAAATCCATTCAACAGCTTCAATGAACGCCTACGGTCAGGCACAAATATACTCCACTAGGGCTTCGGCTTCCACCACTTGCAACTTTGGTGGCTACGGTGCGCCTCCATACTATGGGCACAATCCACCCAAGCAATTCAGCGCCACCCAGACCCAGACTGTGGCGCCTCTTAAGCGAAGCTGTGATGTTGGCACCCAAGTAGATATGGCGATGGAGGAATTGTGCGCCAAGGACCCGGATCCAGGATCATCAGATAAGAGTGATGAGTAAGTATTTTATATTATTTTGTTAGTTATCCAATTGATTTCTATGATTTCAACAGCAGCTCTATGGACAGTGCTGCTGGGGATGGCATGGGTCTTCAGAAAGTGCGACGCAATTCGGAGGTGACGCTGCTCCAGCAGCGCCTCACTGACATCACCAGAATCTCGCTATATGGCAGCGAGATAGCTGAGCGCCTGGCCAGTGCCCATCGCAACCGTCCGTGCTTCAAGAAGATCGACACCCTCTGTGCCCGCTTGAAGCAGGATCTCCTTCGTCCAGATGGCGTGCTGCCCAACATAAACTCTCAGGGCATCGCCTGGGCTGTCAAGGACTTTATATTTGTCTTCACTCGTATTGTAAACGCTTGGGTCATCCTAAAAGGATATGTGTACAATACTCCGGATGGATTAAACAAGATTAAGGATGAGTTGCCTAGTGGTTTCATGTCCACCTTCGATTCGTGGCAATGCGGAACCTTGGCGATGTTGCAAATGATTATCAAGTCCTATGTGAGCTTGGATGAGCTGCTGCAGAAGCAGAAGAACTGCTTTGTGGGAAAGGATTCTAGCGGTACCATTAGTCTCAACAGCAGCAACACCTCTGCATCTCTAAGATCCACAAGCGAATGCAACGAAAGTGGTACCATGTGCCACAAGGCCTTGGGATCGGCTAGCAATGGAAATAGCGTTTCCCAAACCCCAAGCGAGGGTCAAGGATCGCCCAATGGCTCACCAAGAAATGAGAGCGACACTGACAATGGAAAGTCTCTTTGTGAAGGGCCGGAGACGGAGCAGAGCAGCACCTCTTCCACCTCGACGGCTTTGAACAAGCCAAAGTCTGGTATGAATCTTAGCTATCTATATACTATGATCGAGGACTCCGAGGAGACCCAGCGCCATGTCGATGCCAATGGCACCTATTTGAAAACTGGCACCTATCAGCCCCTTCAGAAGGATGCCAATCAACTTGAGATGCCACCACCCATGGCCGGGGAGAACCAAACCCATTTGCAGTTGAACGGGAGAGCTCAGGGAAAGCTATTGACAGGCCTGGAGCTTCTTCCATCTTCCGCCACTGGCGAAACTGAGTGCCAGTTCAATGGGCTTTCGTTGGGTGGTCAGCTCAGCTTGGTAGATCGGGAGCTTACACGCCAGTTGTTCGAGTTCAGTGACCGCGTCATGGAGCTCCAGCATGTGGAGCGCTTCTTCCAGAAGCAGTTTACTCGCAACTACGTAAGAATACTATATTTTAACTTCCATCAGAGACTTATATATCCAATTACAGTATCCGGACTTTTATCATCGCTGCCAGGACGAGTACATAGACATTCGTGCCATCATCTTGCAGTGCGAGAGCTCCTCGTACAATCACTTGAACCAGGCCATCCACGATCTCCGCCGCATCATCTTTGTGGGCCGGTGCTACCTACAGGTAAGGATTTGATTTCCACACCAAAACTCTGCCAGAAACATACTACACTTTAACGGTCTACTTTCAAATACAGCCGTCCCGGAGGACATAGTTCCAATGCAAAGGTATCAGTATCAGTAGAGTGGGCCAACGAATGGACTAATGTACTAATCACTGGTCACATCTGGGCATTAATCTCAAAAATTAACATCATTCACAATGCACATCTAATCGGCACTCACATGCACTTTTACAACACTGGTTATTAACAAAAAACCATAATTTTCCATTTTATTAATATTGTTTTTTGTTTCGCATCGCAGATATATACCAACGATAACCTCCAGCACTACATTGATCTCTACGAGCACTCGTTGAACGAAATGCTATCGAAGCCGCCGCACGTGCCCAACCAGTACGACCACATCCTGGGCAAACCCGGCGAGAAGCTATTCGTCTATTGAGTCACGAGGAACAAACAGGAGAAGCAATTGATTACGTTTATGTTTTGTAGTCTCTTGGAGTTGTCACTGTTGGTCATTGTTGGTACATCCAGTTAGTTAAGCAGAAACCAACCCAAGGATGAACAGTGTCCTTATAGAAATCTCTGTCCCATGTGCGACTCGTAAATTGATTAAGTTATAACTTATAAGTCAAAGACCATTAACCGAATTGAAACAACGTATTATCGTTTGTCAACAACTAGTCTATATCATGTGACTTAACCATTCTATTTTGTAGTTTATATACCTTAACTTTATAACGTAACTATGAGCTGTGACACTGAATTCCGATTTCAAAAATTTCTCAAATTCATTATAAAAAATTCAATTTGTCAATCAAATTATTATTTGTACAACCAAATAAAACCATAACTGTGTTGGTGATTAAGTTGTCGACTCAATAGTTGGATTATCGTGTTAGAAATAAAATAATACAAGTTAAAAACAAAATAAATAAATTCTTGTACATCAATTGACTTATTTACAAAGAGTCCTTAGTAGATTCAGAAAATCGTCCTTCCTAAAGCTAATGTGGCCGCGCAAATTCATCTGGGTTGATGTCCTGGGCCAGTAGCATTCCGTGGAATATGGTGGAACTATTGGATGCCAGGTCTTGCGGCTTGCCCATCTCGCAAATGCGACCATCCTCCAGAACAACAATTCGGTCCATGGCCTGGAGACCCCGCAACCGATGGGCAATGAAGAGGAGGGTGCAACTTTTGAAGGCATTCCTCAGGGCCTGCTGCATGCTCAGATCCGATTCGTCGTCCAGGTTGGAGGTGCCCTCGTCGATGGCCACCACTTTGGCGTTTTTAAGTAGCGCTCTCGCCAGGCACAGGAGTTGCCGCTGCCCAGCGGAGAGGTTGTTGCCACACGACTCCACCTTGCCATCCAAGCCGCCCAGTTGCTGGACGAGGAGAGTGGCCGCAGCCGAGTTCTTAATGGCATGCCAAATCTCAGAGTCGTAGAAACCATGGCGTGGATCAAGATTTTCCCGAACGGTGCCCTCGAAAAGGAATGGCTCCTGGGTGATGACTCCAACTCGCTCTCGAAGAACGCTCAGTGCCAGAGTCTTCAGATTGACCTCGTCCAGACGAATCTCACCTTCTGACAGGGGAGCCACCCGCAACAAGGCAGCCAGGATGGAGGTCTTTCCCGCTCCCGTGCGTCCCACTATGCCAATTCTCTCAAACGCCTCCGTTTGGAAGGTGATACCTTTCAAGGCAGGCGCCAGGTGCTCCCGGTAGCTCAACTGAACCTCGCGGAAGCTGAGAACGCCTTGCGTTGGCCAACCGAAGGGTGGGTCAGCACTTCCCGAGGAATTCTGCTCCCCATCCAGTTGCAGGTACTGATCTATGCGCTCTACTGCCACCAGTTCCTGCTCCGTTTCGGCCACGGCATGAAGCAGATCACCCAGCTGGCCAGTAATGGAGAGAGCATAGGATATGCAAAGACCAACCAAACCGGGATTGGTGGTGTGGGAAGCTGTAATGGCTGCCAAAAGTCCAGCGCCTCCAACCAAAAGTGTTCCCAGCAGCTGAAGACGAAGAGCCAGCCACTGTTGAGCAGCCGATTGGGTCAACTGGGCCTTGATGCTCTCCTCCAGCTTAACCTGGACATGGATATGAATGTCAGTTATACTCCTTCTCATTTGGAATCCTATATATCAGTTACCAACCTGAAAATCTCGCTGAAATCTTGGACTGGCCCTCATGCTCCTTATCGTGGTCAATCCCTGCAGCGTCTCCGTAAAGTGCGTGTACAGTGGTGACATTGCATTGCTGGACAAACGCTTGATGTCTCTGGAGGCATGTCGGTAGCGCTGTTGAAGATTCAGGTAGATCGGCACCATGGGAATGATCACCAGACCCAGCCAGGGCATTGCGTACAAGCTGACACAGAGGGCTCCTATCAAGCCAGCCAGTTGAGCCAGTAATATATTAAGGATGAAGGGCAGAGAGTCATCTACGGTGTTGGTGTCCGAGGAGAACCGATTAAGGATTCTACCCACTGAGGTGATGTCGAAGAAGTTGAACTTGGCCTGAGGATAAGTCTAGTTAACCGAAATGGAATAAAATATTTAGAGACAGTACTTACAAACATGACCTTTTTTAGGAGGTTCTCGTGCATGAAGATGGCCGCCTTGATTCCAGCATAGGCAAACAGAAAGGCTCTGGCCAAAGTCACCAAGGAATTGCTCACAGCGATGCCTGCAAAGATGCCCAAATAAAATCCTGTGGTGTGGCCCGAATCTGTTCCATTTTCCAATCCAGGTCGCATTAGGACATGCTCTAGGGTAGTGTCGTTCTGGTGGGGATCAAGAGTAGTTTCCGTGACCCAATAAGCCAACCAGGCATCACTGAGATTCCGGGTCAGTTGCATTAGCAATACAAAGAGCAAGACCGTAAAAGCCAAGGGGGAAGTCACTGCCCTCCAGTAGCAGGTGAAAACGTTGCCAGAGAGGTGACCATACTCCCGGGATTCCTCAAGCAGCAGGCTATCCACACTCTTCTTGTCATCCTGGTTGGCCAACTCCACTGAACTACGTCTGCTGCGTGGCCCCTGGTCGTCATCCACCTCCTCATCCAGGCTGAGGTCTATGCTCTGGGTCATGTATTCACTTGGCAGTAGTTTCCCATCCTTCATTTGGAGTATTTGGTTGGCGTGGAAGAACAACTGGACGCTTCGGGTGACCACAATCCGGGTCTTATGCTTTAGCAGGCGTAGTATGCAGTACTTGATGATGTGCCTGGCCACATGGGCGTCCAAAGAGGAGAGAACATCATCCAAAAGGTAGACTGGAAAGTAAGAAAGGTTATATCGTTATTTGAAGATCAGATAGCACTATAAGTTACTCTTTTTATCCTGGTAAACAGCTCTGGCCAAGGCCACTCTTGCCCGCTGGCCACCGGATAGTGTTCTTCCATTCTCTCCCACTCCGACGAGATCGCCACCCAGGATCTGCAGGTCTTCCTCTAAAGCACAGGCATGCAGGACCGTCTTGTACCACTGCTCGTCAAACTGTGAGCCCCAGACGATATTTTCCCGGATTGTGCCCCTTTGTAGCCACGGGGACTGGGGGACATAGCCGAACCCGGTGGTCAGCTCTTGAACGCAAACTTCGCCGTCGATGCACTGCAGGTTGGCAACTATGGCGGAGAGGAAACTGCTCTTTCCTCCTCCAACAGGGCCCTCGATGCAGATGAGTTGCCCTGCCTTGATATCAACATTTATATCCTTAAGATGGAAGGACATGGGCGATGAATCATCTTCGGTATTGTGGGTGAAACTAGCGCTTTTCATCTGGAGGACACTGGCCTTGGGGGCATCTAATGGAGCATCTTCCCCAGCCACTAAGCCGCCACTTCCTCTCATGATGGGATTGTAGTACGAGGAGTAGTCCAGATTGGGGACATCCATGAGCTGTTGCACCCGCTTGATGGAGACCCAGGCCTCGATGAGGCCGTTCAATACCCATGGAAAGGCGTTCAAGGGACCAATTAGCATGTAAAGCAAGGCCACGCTGGTGTAGGTGGTGGAAGCTATCAGGGGATTGCCCATCAACACCGACACTCCAAAGGTAAGCAGGCACATCAACACCGGAGTGGTGGCCCAGAAGTATACGCACATGGCGTCCAGGTACTTGCGCTTCGACAGAAATCGAAGCTCCTCCTGGCGAAGGCCGCGAATCTTGGTTATGAATATATCCTCCCAAGCATTGATCTTGATCTGCTTGGCTCCCTGCATGGTTTCGGTTGTGGCCGACAGCCTGGCATCCTTGGCAGTCATCAGGCCACTGGAATATATGCCGATCCTCTTGGCTAGCCACCGGTTGATGGGAATCAAGAGGGCGGCAAAGATAACGCCCGCCAGGAAGGCAGCTCCAAGCTGAAGGTATAGCAGGTACAATGTGGTGAACAGCTTGAAGGGAATGCTCCAGAAGAAGTGGAAGCTGATGCACGAGTTGACGATTCTGTCCGTGTCCGTAGACATGAGGTTGAGCATGTCCGGCTTGGAATCTTTGATGACCCTGGCTTCCAGAGCCTTGCGATAAATGGAGTTCACCACACCCACTCGCATCTTCATGGAGACCATGGCCATGCGCCAATCAAAGTGCGTGGCGCACAGAGCGGAGAGCAGGGTGCTGCCAAAGAGGCCCAGGGCGTAGTAGTACACTTGATAAGGGTCCTGGTGGTCCTGCCTGAGTAGTCCGCCCAGCAGCAGGGGTCCTGCAAACCCACTCAAATCGGCTATTAGTCTGAGGAGTCCAATCAGGTAGAACTCCACGCCATAGCACCTGTGCAGCGCTTTCCACAAGCTCTGCGACTGGGACAGGGCCAGGTGCAATCTCTCGCTGAGTCGGGTGATGTTCAACGCCTCTGGCAGATCGAAGAGGTCCTCGATTTTCCGGAGTTTCCCGGCCACTCCCTTGGAGATCAGCGGTTGAACCCAGTGGAAGATGAAGCGCGAGCCCAAGTTGGCTTCATCCTGGGCATGTCCCAGGTGTCCCTCATTCAGATCGAAATGGAAGTAAGTGTATCTCTGCGATAACAATGCCTCATCCTCTCTGTTGGTGGGACTTCTTGGGGCACTGATATGGACAGCACTTCCTTTGGGGACCAAAGTCAAGGCGAAGAGAAGGTCACATATCATGGTGACCAAGCTCCAGGGCCACCAGTCAAAGTGCCGGCTCGTCCTCAGCCAGATACCGTCCAGCACCACCACAGTGAGCCAGACCACGTTGATTAGCAGCGATCCCCGATGACTCAGCTCTCCATATTGCCTGGCAGTTAGGAGGAATCCTATGACGAGGAAAAAGAAAGTGGATTAGCTCAGAGCTGGGATTTTCTCCAATATTAAGGCTTATGAGTAATTCTTTTTAAGTGAGGTGTTCATGAAGCTACAATAGCAGGTACGAGACAAAAGAAAACCATCTTTTATCGTTCAGACTTGGGGGTTTATTTGCTCGGCCAACAAAAGATCATAAATGTTTTTGAACTTTATGGGGTTTTGCAAGGAAAATAATTACAATCGATCAGAGATCAAAAATTGTGTCTTTCCTTGAAAAATGCTGGCAAAATAATTCTCGGAAGTTCGATAATAAACTCTATATATAGACATAAACAAACGAGGTTTTATCAGAGGCACAATAACCTACATATATTATGAAAGGCTTTCCAAGCATAGTATGGGGTTTATCGAACTCATAGCTACTAAGTTGGATTACTTGATAACAGACTAATGAGTGTAATTTAAGAAAACCACGTTGGGGAAACCGGAAAACCGCACTTACCACTGTGCACCACCCACATGATGCACTCGGCGCTGGAGACCAGCACATCGACGGCATGCAGTTCGATGCCCTTGGCGTTGAAAGCGAAAAGCTTCGCCACCGGCAGCAGTGCCAGGACAATGGCCAGGAATGTCCGGATCGACAGCATTCGCAGCTGCAGTCCATTGCGCGCAACTTGACGTTGCTGATTGCCGAAATTGTAGGCGGATATGGAGGCGAATATGGTGTACACTGGCAGCTGGAGCAGGGTCTCCTGGAAGCAGGGCAGCAGATCGTTGGTGTCATTGGCAAAGGGAGTCAGTCCCGTGGGACAGAACTGTGTCCAGTTCCAGGCGAAGTCGCCCCAATCGATCGTCATTTTGATCCAATACAGCGGGGATTCCTTGTTCGTTCTGCGTTATGAATTTAGCTAATTAGTCATCGTTGCACCACCATAGAGCGGGTGGGTGGTTAGCCAGCGATAAAACAAACACACAGCACAACAAATCGGGGCTGATTAAGTTCGTTATAAAATGCAGGCGCCTTATGCTGGCGGTTTAGTTTCCTGTGAATGTCAGCTGATGAAATTGTCTAGGAAGGTGGTTCCAGTTTTCATATTCTCTATTATTTATTTTTATATTATTATTTATAAAAAATATATATATTCTTCTTTAATTCTAAATCTAAATACAACCTTTTTAATTAATATTTTACCAACTTTTTAATAAAAACCGTTTTATTTCCCTTTCGGAACGTCTGTTCCCTTCCCTGTGAATGGCAATTGGCTAGAAGAAGCATTTGTTTACATTTTATTTAGCATAGAATCGTGAAATTTGTTTATAAAATAAAACATGACAACCGGCGTCGAGGGCGACACCGAAGGAGAAGCTCAAGGCCCTGCCCAGAACCCAGAGCTACCACCAGAACTGATGGATATCTTTAAATCCCTGGCCGAGAACAACAAAATCATTTTCAAATCCCAGCAAATAGATGATCCAGAACTGCCCATCCTGGAAAAGCAACAAATAGCTCGGGAATCCTTTGAAAAAAATCGCGAGAACTTTCTTATCCGGTTCGGGGGCTATCTGAATGTCAGGCAACTCACATCCTTTCAAGATTTGGGTATCAAAGAGCCCATCAAACCAGACGAGAATGTGGAGGAGATGTGTCTACTCTTAGAGGATTTCAGGAGGAAACTTAGCACCAGGTCCGTTTCCATAAAAAACAGGAGATACCATGCCATGCAACAGCTCTTGGAGAAGGGCGAATACTTCAGTGAGCACGAAATGATGCTGCGGGCGCCAGAGCTCTACCAGGAGTTGGTCGGCCAATACCTCACAGAGGCGGAGAAAAAGGCCAGGGACAGCTACGATGTGAGAAACACCAGTTTCTCCGGAATACTCATGAACTCCTTGGAAAAACAGCAAAGGGACGAGTTGTTGGAAGGCTCGAAACAAGAGGAAACGGAGGAGGATGTGGCGGAGAGTGCCTCCGCTCCCACGCCTCCATCTGTAGATTTCGAAGTACCCGCCGCCTGTCAGAAGCAATGGGGCGGTTTCGATGACGAGCCCATTGCTTGTTCTACGAGTAAAATTTCGACAGCTGTAAATGCCTCCAAAATATCAAAGATCTCCACCCCCGAGTTCTACAATCCTGGCGAGAGGGAACTGCTGCGCAATGAGTTCCTCAGCATGATGAAGGAACGGTTTCTGAGTGGCGAGGATAAGGACTTTGATTACACAGCCGTGGATGACAATGCCCAACTGGATGATCTAAAGCAAATCGAGCAAGATGAGGAGGATGCCTACTTCGAGGACAGTGACGATGAGGAGGAACTGGACGAGCGGGCAGAAGAAAAGGAAGATGCATCCAGCGAGGATGAGCTGGACATCTACATGAGGCACCTCAGCAAGCATCATAGTCTACAGAACTAGTACTATTATAAATAGTAGCTTTAACTATATTTTAAATTAGTTTTTAGATATCCAAGAAATTGGATAAATAAAATTTTCGATCCACCCAAAATATTTGAAGTCTTCTGCTGCTGCTGCTGCTTTAGTCTTTAATCTTAATCCTATTCTTAGACAGTAATTAATTGTCGAACTTAGACGCTACGAATACGTGCACTTGATAAAAGTTGGAGTAAAAAATTCAGTTATCTCGGCCTGCCACGACCACGTGGAAAACCGCGTCCTCTGCCCCGCAGGACCTTGCTGTTCGGTGGAGGACTCTTGGGCCGCAGAAGCTCAATCCGACTGGTGCAACCCGTAGCTGGAGCCTCAGCGAAATACGTTTGATACAATTCCGAATTGAAATTGGAGTTGGTCAGCTCCGGGCCGACGGTTAACCAGCCAGGACGAATGCTCGAGTCCCTGCCGAAAAGATGGAGACGTCGTCGACCCAGACAGAAATGCTCGATTATGTGAAAGATTTCGATGGGCTTCTCGAAGCTGCCGAACTCCTCCTCCTCCGATATGATCAAATCGATGTCCACGTTGGCATGGATGAAGTCTCCGTCGGTGGAGCGTCTAACCGTTCCCTTGATACCCATCAGGCAGTGCTCCTTTGTGCGTTGGAAGACGGCCTTGGGTTCCAGCTGTTTGGAGTGCCCCGGCTTGTTGATGTTTGTGCGTATCCAGCAGATGTCCTCGCAACGCCGGAATCCCCACTTTTTAAGGCAGTTACGGCCCATGTCCAGTCCCTCCGACGAACCGCACCACAGGAACACGAACGAGCGATGGGCGGCAATCTCACCCACATCCAAATCTACAATATATTGAGTTTAAGTAAGTGCAAGGATATATACTCCACGTTACTTACTCAGGATATCATCCCAGTTCCAGAAAACCCTTGGAGCTCCTCCCACAGTGGCCACTGAAGGAGCTGCCCTGGCGTATTCCTCCAAAGGCGGTTCTATCAAAATCACGTCAAACTTGGTCCCCAAAGTTTTCACATCCAGAGTTTTGAGATCCGTTTTCAGATACATGGGAGCCGAAGCCGTGTCTTGGATAAGTTTGTCCTTCAATTTAATGAGCTCCCTTAGCTTGGGATACTCCTCGAAGCGATCCGCTAGACCCACATCGCGAATGAAGTTCTGGGGCCTTTGTCCCGTGTCCACGAAGTGCTGGCAGTAATCATTGTGCGGATTGGAGGACTGGGTGCCCTTCAGGAATGTGGAGGAGTCCCTGTAGATTATTTCGCTGTGCGTTTTCTTCGACGAGGAGGAGCCGGCATCGTCATCTTCCCTCTGACCACTGGAATTCAGTTGGCGGCTGTTGTTTGTGTCCTCGGCGTTGCCCAGTACTTTCTTTAGCTCATCCACGCTGGACAATCCCAACTAAAAATACACATTATTAACAAAGAATTTATGAATTGTTTTGTGGAGAACTCACAGTCTGGGCCAAAAGCAGGCGTCGCTTCCGAGAACGCTCCTGGGAGCTTTTCAGCACATCACTCATGATTAGAGGGCCCTTTTCTTAATATATAACTAATTATTTACTATTTTTCTAAGTTTTTCAGATCAAAATTTAAAAGAAAACGCCACGGAAGAAATACAAACACCAAAAAACTAAAACCAAAAGATATTCAATAGTTCTGTCGCTCTAGCGGCTTTAAGGCTGGATTAGCCGAGGAATCAAGGCGTAAATAAATCGATTGCACTAATTAAAATTTAATTAAAAAGACATTATTTTATTTTCTTGCTAGCATTAATTTATATTAAGATAAGTCCTTTATCTTTAAACCTGTTTGAACACCTATGTCTATATTTGTTTATTCTTTTGTTTATTATTTGTAGCATCACTGTTAGTGATGGTACATATCGAGCAGCTGGCTATCGTGCCGGCATATACAGCATGGACAGTGCTGACAACACTCAAGTTAAGGTTGGTAAACGTGTAAATGCGCCGGCCGCAGGAAATATTTTAGATTAAACATTTTTTCCAATTTTTTCGTTTACATTAGCGAAATTATTAACTGAATCGCCTGCATCATGAGGCTGCTACACAAGACGCTGCTCAGCGTTATGCTGGCGGTGCTGGTCTTCGCCATTTACGCGGCCGCCCAGGCTAAACCAAAGGTTCGTTGGTGGCCACGTCACTTTTTTGGGAACGATTCTGGAGCTCCCGGAATGTTTGCCGGTTCTGTACTAAACACCCTTTGTTTTTCTTTTAGACGGGCTTATCGCTGTCGGAGAAAGTACAAAACTTGGTGGAAATGAACATGAAGAAGCCCCTGCTACGCTTTAACGGACCCAAATTCAGGGAGTACGTGAAAAATGCCCCGCGGAACTATTCCATGGTGGTGATGCTGACGGCGCTGGCGCCATCCAGGCAATGCCAGATTTGCCGACACGCCCATGACGAGTTCCAAATCGTGGCCAACTCGTACCGCTTCTCCTCCATCTACTCCAACAAGCTCTTCTTTGCTATGGTGGATTTCGACGAGGGCTCCGAGGTATTCCAGCTGCTGCGTCTGAACACTGCCCCCGTCTTCATGCATTTCCCGGCCAAGGGAAAGCCCAAGGGCGCTGACACCATGGACATCCACCGCGTCGGTTTTGCCGCCGATTCCATTGCTAAGTTCGTTGCCGAACGCACTGACATCACAATCCGTATTTTCCGTCCACCCAACTACTCTGGAACTGTGGCCATGATCACCTTGGTGGCTCTGGTCGGTAGCTTCTTATACATTCGGCGCAACAACCTGGAGTTCCTGTACAACAAGAACCTGTGGGGTGCCATTGCTGTGTTCTTCTGCTTCGCCATGATCTCAGGACAAATGTGGAATCACATTCGCGGACCGCCACTGGTGCACAAGTCTCAAAACGGTGGAGTGGCCTACATCCATGGATCCTCGCAGGGTCAGCTGGTGGTGGAGACCTACATTGTCATGTTCCTGAGTGAGTAAACTGAATCTACAAAGGGATGAGGATATATTTTAATATAAAATTTACTTTTCAGATGCCATGATTGTGTTGGGAATGATTCTGTTAATCGAATCGGGAACTCCAAAGAGCCATAACAAAAACAGAATAATGGCCATGACGGGATTGGTTCTCCTAACCGTATTTTTCTCCTTCCTGCTATCCGTTTTTCGATCCAAGGCGCAGGGCTATCCTTATAGGTAATATCCCACTGGAATATTAATTGTAAAAAACAGATACTAACTATAATTTTCCGTCTTTCAGTTTCTTGTTTAAATAGAATCGACTGCAGCCCTGGTCCAGTTCAAGTTCCCAAAAAACCAACGTATCGTTTTGTAGTTAAAAATCCACAGCGAGCACACATTTTTTTTGTGCGTGTAAAACTTCTCTTTAATAAATTCCACTACTAAATTATTTGTATAAAAATGCGTAAATGCTTTTGTGTCCAGTCTCCCAACGAATCAGAGCAGGAACGGAATGATGGCCCGTCTATTTCTGGGATAATCTCGGAATGTCTCCTGGTACCAGCGATGGGTGAGCAGAGCATTGATGGTCTGGTTGCTGGCCACCCACAGAAAGATGAGCCGCCAAATGCGCACCGGCATGAAAAGATCAGCGATGCAGAAGTACATAACAATCTCGAGGGACATGTGCGGCGATGATATGACATTGAAGAGGCCGCCCTTTGGCACCAGATGCTTCTCGGTTTTCACCCGGCCAGTCCGTGGATCCGTTCGCAGATTAACGAGTATCATGTTGCTGGAGTATTGCTGCTGCCAGGCCAGACCGAAGACGATGAGGTAGAGTATTTGCTGGCCAGTCAAGTTGTCGATGGTGAACTCTATAGGCTGAGAGCCGCGCACAAAGCCGGCGGTGTTCGACATCAGGGCAATAACGGTGCCGAAGTAGTGGGCATAACCAACTACATAGTGGGATAGGTTAATCTTGCTCTGCTTCGAGAAGATCTGCACAAAGTTGGTCTCGTAAAAACGCCGGGTGCACTGCAGAGTCAGCATGATAGTGCCCACCAGGGCCGTGGTGGAATCAGTCTCTACTTTCCGGTGACTCCGACCGCCGGCCATGAAGTCCAGAAACCGCATGACATACTCCGGCGCCTCCTTTCCCGACTGGATGGTCGATGTAATGATGTAAAAGGCCAGCCAACTCCAGAACACGGCAAAGATGTAAAAGTGCCTGAACCATGACTTGGGCACCTCCAGATGGGCTATGAACGGATCCAGTTCACCCTTGAAGCTGTGCTTGCCATAACGGAATGCCTGACGTATGCTATTGGGCAGATAGCGCTCCACAAAGGTCATTAATCCTCCGAAGAAGGCGATCGTGGCGATGAAGGTGCCGAAAATCAGTTGGAGCAGGTTCACCTTATATCGGTCGATCAGAGTTTCAAGATCCAGACCAAGACCGCCTCCATCCTTGGCGTGCGCCATTTCGAAAACTTCTGAGCGGTCTAACGCGGAAAAACTGTAAAAACTTTCTCCTATACAAGTGTTTAATTATCACCGGCCAAAATTGCAAATGCAAAAAAAAGCTTTCGCGGTGAATGTCGATTAATAGAAGTAATCGATAACAACAGAGGCGGGGTTTTTAAAAAGTTCTTCTTTTGATATCCCATATGGGATAAAGCTCTTGTTTGTTTTTAAAATTCACCTTAAAAATAAATATATTTTTTATCCTTTTTATTTCTCATTATAAAAAACGATATTTTATTTTTTTGCTCTCAATCTTGAACAGCAAAAGTAAATTGGCTACAGTTTCGATTTAGCGTATAAATGGATTATTTCGATATGGCTTGTCTAGTTCGGCAGGTGTGATTATTATTTATGCAGTGGCTTTCTATTCCTCCTTGATATTGCTTCATTATATTATGGACTCCAATCCCGCTCTTCTCAGCAGTAGAGGACTCGCGGGGATGTTTGTCAAATATCCACTCCGTTCCGGCCCAGGGTGCCGCCCTTGTACGGAGGAGGCTTGGGTCGGGCATAGATGCTGGAGTCCAACTGATAGAAGCTATTGTTAGGACTGCAAAAAAATAAGAAAGAATTTATTATTCTTCGTAGAATGTTTTAATAAAGAGCTCGACTTGCCTTTGAGATCGAATGCTTGTATTGTCCAGAAGAAAATTCGGATCCTTGAGGCTCTTCAGGGTGGTGATGGGCTGAGTGGGCTTGCTGTCCGAGCACTGAACCATCTGCACAGTGGAGGACATGGGATACTCCGAGTTTAAAGAGCTGCAAGTATGAGGTAATTAAAATTTCTAAAATAAAGTTTTCAGAATTAATATATAGATAGGTAGATCTTTGGAAAAGTCACCTCTCAGATCCATCATCAGAACCAGAATCACTGGGCACGCTGGGCGTACAGGACTCTTCGCAGATGTGGAAAATGTTGGCAAAGAAAAACTCAGAATGCGGATCGGAACTGAAGAGCGTAAGAAACACAAGATATCAAATTTAAATAATGACAAAATTAATAATATTAAATAGATATATTCTTCTGGAGACAAAACTCACAACTTCTCGTGCTGGAAGCACAAAACAGCGGACAACATTCCGATCAAAACTGCAAAAATCATGCCCGGAATAGCGAAGGAGAAGGCGAACTCGTCGATGTAGTTCCGCACGGGGACATCCTCTCGGGCAATGCCCATCCATCTGTCCTGGTGGCGGTGCTCCTCCGTCGCCTGCTGTTCGCCCTGCTTGCCGCTATGGTAGAGGATCTCCGTGGGCGATTCCACGCCCACCATCCGGAAGGCACACCAATCCAGCTTGAAGCCCACGTTCTCGAAAATCTTCTGGACGGAGGTGCGTTTGTAATTGCAGGTTGGCAATTTGTAAAGAGGACGCACTTCCTCTTGGAGCTCTATCAGGCGGGGAGAGAACTTGGCAAAGCTGCCCACATGAACGATGACTCTGGAATTATAAATGGCAATATAATACCGATAACCATTTCAAGGATATAGTCATTTCTTACCCCTCTCGTTGCTGGGGACGTAGTGGCAGGCGTCCTCCCATATTCACAGCCGATTCCATAAAGACCACACTCAGGTCCTCCTTGCTGTTCGGCCACAGATCCTTTCGGAATATATTGCGCAGATTCTCGACCCGCCCCGGATCCATCAGATGCACCCAGTTGAGATTATCGATCTTCATTTGGACTATATTGGGCGTGGGGAATTTGTTGACCACAAAGAGCTGGATGACCACACGACGTGTTTCGTAATTCTGACGATTCAGAGCCACCACATCCAGGTTGACGTCCTTGCCCGCTGTGGACTCGGGCGGAGTGCCGTAAAGAAATCCAGCATGGTATTCATGGCTGTACATGTACCTCATCCAACTGGGCAGATCGGGGTAGCCCTTCAAGGATGGCCTGTAGCGGAACTGCTCGCTGATGACCTGGTGGGTCCAGTTGAAAAGCATCGGTTCCACCTTGTAGGTGAACAGTTCCCCCACATTGGCCTGCAGTTTCAATCCCACTGCTTCCCTGGACAAGAACACAGCCAACGTGGACAATAAAAGGCTTAAAAACTGCATTTCTATTCTGTTTTTCTGCCAGAGATTCACGAGCACATTTTAATTGACTATAAACAAAGTGTTATTCCGAAAGCAACTGACGAAAAATTCCGATGGTGTGTATCTAATTGGGAGAGGTTCTCCCCAATATTTATATTTTATTTTTTGTTTAAGGAGAGCGCCTGCGCATTTGAATTTTGGAGCCAAATCATGTGTGTCGAAGGTCAGTTTTGGCGCCCAAAAGCTCACAGTTTTAAAAGGTAATAATAATACAACTGGTATTTTTACAAAAAAAAAAAAAGACATAATAATGTATATATTCTATTTTTTATAATTTATAATTCAAAATTTTATTTTGCTGCTTAATTTTCTTCAGGAAGTTATTATTTTAAAAGTACTTAACGATAATAATTGAGAGTAAGCTTTTCTTATTTATTGGGCATTCAAAATTATATTAAGGTAATTAAAATCTTGCTTGATTAAAATTGTCTTTGAAATAAAATTTGAAATTAATAGTGTTACCATAGCCAAGTCAGTACCGTTTATGCAGCTAGTAGTGTTGGGCAACGTTCAGCGACTTCTTATCAGCTGGCCAAAAAAATTTGTATAAAATTCTGAGAAACAAGTACGTGGCGTGGCTGCTATTTATCTCGCACAAATTGTGGAAGTAATGTCTGCCAGGTAGCACAGGCACCTGTTCAAATAAACCGACAACCGAATCCGCCGGACAATGTTTGCCTGCCTGCTCCAGATCTGTTTTTATCTGCTCTCTACAGTTGCAGTAGCGGCGTTCTTGGTCAGTTTACAAAAATAATCAAAACACTTATAAATCATAATCTATGATACTATTTATTTACCAGGTGATAGCCGTACTGCTGTATAAAACGAAGCCCTACCCCAACATCCAGAGGCACAAGGATGAGGACACCTTCCTGGACCCCCACACCATCAAAACAATCGCATTTCCCAGCTTAGACGATTCTCCAACCTTGGAGCTCAGTGTCATTGTACCGGCCTATAATGAGGAAAAGCGATGTAAGTTGCTGGAGTCACTTCCTTTTAGAGAAGAGGTTTCACTATATTTTACCTGCAGTCCCTCTTTAATGAATACATGAGTAATCGTCACATGATTGATTGTTTCTTTACAGTGCCTGCCATGTTGGACGAGTGCCTGGCCTTCCTGGAGAAGAAATCGGCGGGAAATCCCAACTTTACTTATGAAGTGATTGTAGTCAGTGATGGTAGCCAGGATGGCACTGTTGCTGTAGCCTTAGGATACTCCAAAAAGCATGGAGCCGAGAAGGTGCGAGTGCTGGAGCTTATCGAAAACCGTGGAAAGGGTGGAGCTGTTCGCCTGGGTGTGCTAAGTGCCCGGGGTCGGAACTTGCTCTTCGCCGATGCCGATGGTGCCACCAAGTTTCCCGACTACGACAAACTGGAAGAGGCGCTAAAAACCTTGGCGTCAGAGTGGCGGGAAGATGGTATTGCCATTGGATCGCGGGCTCATCTGGAAAACGATGCCATTGCCACGAGGAGCTTTTTCAGGTGAGAAGTCTTCAGTACTTTATCTTGAATAGTTATATATTAGTTGCTTGCAGAACCATTTTGATGCACGGCTTCCACCTGCTGGTCTGGCTATTTGCCGTGCGCTCCATCCGAGACACCCAGTGCGGCTTCAAGCTATTTACCCGCTCCACGGCCCGTAAACTCTTCACCAGCCTTCATGTGGAGCGCTGGGCCTTCGATGTGGAGCTGCTGTATCTGGCTGAGCGCCTTAAAGTGCCCATGTCCGAGGTGGCTGTTCGCTGGACGGAAATCGACGGCTCCAAGTTGACTCCGTTCTGGTCCTGGCTGCAAATGGGCACTGATTTATTTATGATCTGGCTGCGATATCTGATTGGCGCCTGGCGAATAGCTTCCATCCAAAAGAAAGAGAATTGAGAATACTATTTTAATTCCATCTCGCATTTTCCTTTCCAAACTCTATGAACTTGTAACTGTATTTTTTGTAGATCTTATTATTTTTTAAAAACCGCTGACTAGTTAAGGACACAGTATTTTTTCAAAATAAACAAAGAATATGCCTTTTGAAAAATACCAACCATTCCGAGTAGGGATTTTTTTCACTAGGGATGTCGAATTTTTTAAAATTATCGTATCGATAATATTTTCTGTTTTAAAAAAATATCAAAATGATATAAATATATATCGCTACAAAAAATCGATATATCGATGTTTTTGATATTTTTTTTAGTTTCCTAAAAAGTTTTTTAGAATATAAAATAATAGAAATAAAACACAGAAATTATTATTGCTGTTTAGTTTTTCTCATCTTTAGTTTTTTAAATCCATAAACATAACATTTGAAAATCATAAAGAAAAATATAACATAAAGAAAAATATAACATAAAGAAAAATAATATTCTATTTCATTATAGTCTTTGCCTGAGATTCGAGTTCTATTCATAAAAATAACATAAAATTTATCTTAAATTAAATTCAAAGTTCTTATATAATAAAAAATAAGGAGATTGTATTCCATTATACAGTCTTGGTCTTGTATAAAGTTAGTGCCAATATTTGGCATTAATAGACTTTAAAAATACCCGTTGCGTTATGTGATTATCAGTCATTCGACTCCTTGAATCACAAACGACGCATTTTATAGCCGAAGCCAGTCTCTCCGAAGGCACTGAACTCCCAGGTGTAATTAGGTATTTCCGGGCGAGTTGATATAATCCTGGCATAGCCACCTTGTGTGCATTCCAAAATGTTAGGGGATTACTTTCCCATGATGTTTGGGGCAAACTGAGATATAATTTTAGCTCGCTGTGATCAGAGTTTTGCAAGGAAAGGCCCTTTAAAATTGACCTATTGTGGGCCTCCATAAAATCGACACACTGTTCCTCTGCATTGTCATCAGAAATCTGTAATAATTTAAAGGAAATTAATATATACTTTATTTTTGCTTCGGAATAATAAATAAATTATTAATGAATTAATTACGTTGAGTTATTATTATTATTAATGTAAATGTAAGTATTACTATTAAATTATATACATGATTACGAACTCTAAAATTTGACATACCGGGGTTTCCTTTGAAAAGGTAGAAATTTCGTTCAACAAATCATTTGTTGCCTCCTGTACCCCGATGGGTGATATGTACATTTTTTTAAATCTTGGATCAAGAAAAGATGATTTCACCAATATTTTATTTGATTCAAGTGTAAATTTTATTTTACAGTGTAGTGTAGATTTTATTTCGTGTGTGTGAAATTTTGCGACATTTTACTGCGAAATCTACATTTTTTCACACACACGAAATAAAATCTACACCTTCGCGGTAAAATGGCGCCAAATTTCGGCGTCATGTTGTACACATAAATATATATATTAGCGGTGCCCACACAAATACATTTACATATGTGCACAATTATACTGCGAATTTCTTTTCACACACACAAAAACACTGAAAAGAAAACGCTATTTTATATATAAATTTATTAATATGTACAAACCTTTTTTTGCTGACACTTTAAAAAAAATTCGTTATGTTTATTTTTAACATGTGACGTCAAATTTGTGGTGTTTCCACTTGTTTTTACCATTTTATTGCACAAATTACACTTTGCTGTTCCGTTTTTTATTTCACTATAATTCTTTTTTATTAGCTTTATGTCCATTTTTCTCACACCGCCGATCTTCACTTTTTTCAATTTGATCAAAGAGTGACCAACGCAGAAATATCAGATAATATCAAAAAAACTATCGCACACTCGATATTTGGGGGAAAAAAATATTACGATATAAATATATTATTTTTCCCAAAAAATATCGATATATTGATATTTCGATATATTATCAACAACCCTATTTTTCACTCACACTTTGGTCACACTAAAGCTAAGTTGCGGCGGCGCGTTCGGATCTCGTTTAATTCGTAATCACTGAATATTAGCCAAAATTATAAAACCAGTCCCGCACAAATCTGCTGCCGTTCAGCATCGGCTGAATAAATAGTTCAAGTTCCAGAAATCGTGCCGGAAATTATCGAAAGTGCAAGTGCAGTCGCAGAGAAATTCCAGGAATTAGCCTGTTGCTGGCGTACGCGGGTGTTTTTTTCGTGTATGATGCGTGTCAGCTGGTGCCTGCGATTTTGTTTATAAAGTTTTTTATTCGCAGGCCCCCAAGCCGGTCGGTCGGTTGGACGGTTGTTAATTTCTTGATTTTTTCCCTTCTTGATCGCCGCGACGGCAAACGAAAGTAATTTGTGTTGTTGTTTATGTTGTGCTCCCACAAATTCTCTCCAATTGAGATTTGTTGTTAGTGTCTGTTGCCTCTTGTCTTGTGTTGTTGTTGTTGTGTTTGTTATGCTGTCCGGTCATTGCTTCAAATTGCTCAATCAACGCCACTACTTGTGGTAAGTAAAACTGGCACAGTTATCAATTTTATTTTATTTTTTTTTTATTTTCCACTATCCACTCTCCTTCTGGCTATCGAATTTCGCCTTTTGTTCCGCCCCGGTGGTTATCGGGCAGTAAGCTGCGCTTGCAACTATTGGTGGGGGTCGTGCTGATAAGAATGACAAAGGAACGGTACTGATAACCAATGCCTGGGAATACTGATCACCCCAAAAGGTATCTCATTTTCCAATTAGAACGAAATTCTTGCAAAGGTCGCAGTTATGTTCTTCTTCTTTCAGAAAGCTAGAAAAAGCGCGACAATAAACAAAAAAAAAAATAAAACCAAAATTAAATGGCAAAGAAGAATACAAACTAAGCGTGGCGAAATTCAAAGTCAAAAACGGGTTGCCAGGCCACGCCCGCTATATAAACGTACATACGTCTGCATTATACGTATATGTATATATATCTCCATATAGTATCTGTAAAAGTATGTGCATAAAATCCAGCTCCAGCTCCATCTACAGCTCCAGGTCTTTTGGGCCTCTCGCTCCTCCAAAAAGATTTATGTACACATTGCGCCTTCTGCCTTTTGCCATCCTTTTTTCCATTTTGTGCCATCGCCACGGTCCGTGTTTATTTTATTACTTATGGCCATGCGCGGATGGCTCAATGCACTGCGAAAAATATTTAATAAAATGTTTTTTATACAAAGAATTTAAAATATATTATTTTATATATATAAATAAAATTAAAAACCTAGAATTATATATTTTTCTTTAAAAACTAAGTTATATTTATTTTCTTGCAGTGTCTTTTCATTATTTTCTTTTTTTTTCTGTTTTGTGGCAACCCTGCTTGATTAAAGTGAGAGGGTGGGGTGGGCGAAGGAGCAGGAGCCGAGTAGATCGCATTTGTCGCTTTTCTTTTGTTTATTTCCATGTGCCAGCAGACGCGTCTGTTCTTGTTCTCTCAACAGGAACAGGAGCGGATTTAAGATCAGAAAGGGTTTTTAAAAATAAATATAAAATTTATATTATATTTTATTAAATAATTTAGTTAAAATTATTTAAATGTTTTTAACAAAAATTATAAAAATTATTAATGATTTAAGAAATTTCTAAACATTTTTCTCTCTCTGCACTCCGCTCCTGTTCCTCTTTAGTGCCTCTTGTTAGCTTTTGTTGAAGTGCGATAATTCCAGAGATCGTCTCGAGTCTGGACTCTCCGCTTCAACGAGCCGTTTGTTTGTGTACTCGCTTCCCGCTTCGAGTGGAGTGATGGAGCCGCGTCGGGGCTTTTGGGGGCTAATCCTTTAATCCGCAGGCCACTCGGGCTTCAAGGTCAGCGCGAGCGATCACTGCTTATGTGCATAAGTAACTCCTGTCTAGTCGGGGGCTAATTAATTGTCCGTTTAATCGCTCGATTTGTTGCTTGACTTGTCTGCCAGCCAGCCTTTAATTCCCCCTATATCTCTATACTTGTAGTTCTCCACTTTCCGCTCTTCCATTCTGATTGATGTCAGCCGTAACGCCCACAGCAATTAGTCAGCCAGGTAACTCCCAATGTTGCAGTAGTAGTGTTTCAATATCCGACGCGGTCATTGGCTCCAGATTCGCACGCCCACGCCCACGCCCTCCCCCCAAAAAGCTAATTTATGGCCTTGTCTTCGCCGAGTGTTGTAACCAATTTTTTGAGAGTGTCTGCTTCTAATTTTAACCCATTGAGTAGCTATATGACAATATTGGCCATCTGCGAAATCAATTCTGCAGCATTGGGAACTATTTATACCATTAGTCTTGAATATTTTTAGATAATTAGGTTGTTTTGAGTTATTTTTAAAAATAATATATAATCTAAATACTATCTACAAGGGCTTATTTTTAGCTCCAAACATTTCCATAAACTTATGGCCATCTAATATTTATCCATCTAATAGTTTACCTCCATTTCAGACACTATTTCTGGTCAAAATGCTGGGTACTAAGCAGCGAAACTCCCATGTCAATGGCAGCATCAAGTCATCCTCCTCGATCCGATCGAGCTCCAAATCGTTCCAGGCCAAGATGGACAAAATGTCGGAGAGATTGTACGACATTGTCAAGAGTGGGTCGATGGTGAAAAGGGCCCAGAACAAGAAGCGCTTCACGCCAGTGAACTACAAACATCGCTGGTTCGAGCTGACCAAGCGGACACTCTGCTACTTCGATGTGGAAAACATAGAGGTGAGTCTATGAATCATAGATGGAGACACTAACAGGTTTCGTTTTAGCCAAAAAATACATAAAATATTAAGACCTGTATTCACAAAATTGGATGAGTAAATAAAACAAAAAGCTAATACGGAGATTTAATAAAATATACATGTATTAGATTAGTTTGTATTAGTATTTAAGATGTATTAGATCTTGTACTTTAATCTGATATAATTTTAAGTTTTCAGAACCCATTTAATTAAGAGCTCTTTCCAGATCTCAGATAACCTATTATTAAGGCCCCTATATCCAAGGATATCATTAGAAATGACACATCTAGAGAAACGATAGACTGGGAACTGGGTCTGAACACCGCCAACTGCCAGCTGGAATCTGGGAGTCTGGAGTCTGGGGGAAAGGATGTATTGAGAGAGGGCTGCTTTTCATTATTCATGTTCAAGTGGGCGTCTCATCTTGTCGTCATGGTTTCGTCATTTATTGCGTCGTTATAACGGCACCTACCGTCCCTCCCATCCCCCAGGAGTGGGTGGTGTCCTGTGTACTCTGCATCTGCAACCGGCTGCTTTCGTTTCAAAACAAATGTCGCTTTCGTGAACTGGTGGGCACGGCTGGGCTAAAAATGTCTCCAATGGAGGAGCGCCACTTCGGCAACATCCATTCCAGTATCCACTGGAACGAACCAGTGTGCCAGGGTGGAAATATTCTACATATATTCCGGCCGGCATTCATGCCGAAAGACCAGAAAACCCACCCTCGTAGTGTAGACTTACTGTCCTATCCCGTTAGGGCCTTCCAATTGGAAGCGGAGTTTCCCTTGAATTTCCCTTAGCACATCCTGGATGAAGTTCAGTAACCGTGGCAAGAGTTTTTATCCTGACTCTGTCGCGTGTGGACGTATTATTTCGCTAAAATTATCAACCAACTCGCTCTTGATATATTTTAATTATTTCGGATTAATAATAAAAATAAATTAAATATAAATATATAAAAAATTGAGATAAATATTGAGTAATTTGTTTAAATATTGTGAAAAACAAGCAATTTTCTAATGCGCCGGCTGCTACCCTTGAAAACTTGATTGGATTTCAGCGGCAAAGTGAAACCACCCTTATTTCCCATAATTTTTGACTATTTTCTATGAATCTAAAAAAAAAAAACACGAAGCTTTTATTAATTTTATTAAACAAATATAGTGTTTTTAAAATATATCTAAAAATAAAAAATTAAAGAAATAAGAAAACTCTCAAATATAAAATTTAATTCGCAAATCCCTTCCATGGCGTCGTTGGAAAATTTTTTGCGAATCTAACCGAAGGTGTCCGAAGCAAAAAAAAAAAATAGAAAAAAGAAAACGCCCCACCCAAGCCAAAAAGTTTTTCAAGTGTATCCCAGCTGCCTCTGGTGCGTGAGTGTGTGTATAGAGTGTGTGTGTGTGTGTTGTTTTTGTTGTTGAATGCTTTGCCGCACCCCGAAATTTACGAATATCCTGTATTCCTGTGCCTGCCTAAATTAAAAGGATTATCCTGGACGCCCTAGGTGAGCATTTCAGATTGGTATGGAGGGGGGAGTCCTAGGGGGGCTACTAGTTTTATGGGCCAAAAATATTCATTCTAAAATTGAATTAAATTATGGCTTTTTGTTGGGAGAGTATACGCCTAAAATTATGCAATAAATAAAATACAAAAAAAAAGGACTAGATCTAGACTAGGCCTCTATAAGGAAGGAGAATTAAGTGTTTATTAGGAATAATTATTTATTTTAGTTCTTAATTGCTTAATTAGCCTTGATTAACTACTAATTATATTTTAATAAACCTCCAGATAAGGCCTTTAAATCACTGCTTTTGGGAAGTCCTCCCAAATCAGTCAGGACACCTAACACGGCTGCCAATCACTCTCCTGTCACTCGATCCCATCATTTTCCCATTCATTTATTCATTTCGCTGGTTTTTCCCTATTTTCCACCCGCTGGCTGGCTTTTCTTTTGTCCTTGCTACCGAGGGCTGCTGCGAGAGTTCGGGGGTTCGATGAACTCATGTAGAAAATGTTCAATTAATTGATTGATTCGCGGTGGCTTCTTTGTGTAGAGTCTTCCTCCTGGTCTGGCTCCTCTCCTTGTAATCCAATGTCCGTGTCTGTCATGTTTATTGGGGTCAGACCTGGTCTGTCCAGTCCATCTAGTCCATTGCACTCGACCTACACCTGGAAAAAGGATGTAGAATATGCAAATTAGAGAATATGGATCTGGAGCTATCATTCCTCTAAGCAATTACCTGAGTAATCTTTCAAAGCGTGTCTGGGAGCCTACGTTTTCCTGGGTGTACTCCCCCCTAGGCTTCATCATCGCACCAGTGAGCCACCATCGACATCGTTGTTGTGTCATTAACCTGTCATAAAAATCGCAGCTTGGGCCAGGTACCAGTTACAGTCGCAGTCCCACGAGTGGCCACCAGAGTAGAGTTGGGGGGGCGACCATCTACCATCCTAGCCAAGAGCATGCCTCACCGCGGTGGTATGCTAATTGAACCCGGACTTTTTGTTTGCCAACACTTTGCAGTTCTTTACGCCTTCGTTCTGCTCTCTAATACCTTTCGCACAGATTAAGGCTGTAAATAGCAATTTTCCAAAAGGAGGAAGGAGGTGTAGCCTTCCTCGCCAAGTGTGAATAACGAAGGTGGGAATGCACTTTAATACTTTTCAGCTAATACCATTCCCTTGAAATTTATTTGCAATTTATTTATAACTTTTTTGAAATATAGATGGTTGTAAAATATACCCTTTATTCAGATCTATCCACCCCCCCTCGGACTAATGGAGGCACCTCCTCTGGAGGCTCGTAAAGCGTGTGTGCCAAGTCTTCATTCTCTCCTGTCCAGTAGCCAATTTTTATGACTTTTCGGGGAGTATTTTTATTTTTTTTGTATTATTTTTTACGACTTGCACTTTAAGTGTTTCTGGGCCTTGGACTCATCTCGGCTAGACCTTTCCGATCAATCTCAATTCAGTTCTTCTCCGAGGCCTTCTCACAATTAGACATTCGAATTTATCACCCAAACTTTTAAGCCGCTTCGGTGAAAGAAATATTTGTCTCTGGGGGGGATTATTACTCATCGGCATGCATTTTAAAAAATTCTTCACGAATTGACACCTTTCCCGGGCTTAAAGCTGATTTCGTAGAATTACAGAGCCCGCATCGGAGAGACCCGGGCCTCTTTCTTTCCCCCAATGCTGACAAATTAGCGAGCCGAGTTGTTTTATAGGATGGGTGGTCCCGTTTCCAGTTGTCTTTATGCTGCATTTTTTATTTAACACGAAATTGGCGCCAAAGCTAAAATGTTTTTGATAAGCTCCGAGGAGTGGGGGGATCCATCTCGGCCATATGGATGACATGAGTCTGTGGCCTCGATTCTCCGATGCTTTGGAAGACAACCTGACGTCTTTTGCGGTTGCCAGGTTGTAGCCAGTTGCAGTGGCAACCGCAGGCTAAATGACTGGAGAGGCTTAAGCCTGATTACAGTTACTTGTTTAAGGCCAATACCCTTTCAAGTCTGAGGGTATATGAGGATTGACATATGGGAATTATATTAAAGATTATAGAGTAGTTATTAAGTCACCAAAAAGGTTTATATCTCTCATATGGCAGCTGTCTTTTATGCTGACTAATTACCAACACTTTTAAAGCCATTTTGGATGAAAAAATAGCATACATATGCTTAATACATTTCAATTGTGCAGAGGCCAAGCCCTTTTCGTAAGCACTTGTAACAATTATGAATCACAATCGAAAAGGTAACACACCACACTCCACACTCTACAATCCGAACTGGAATCGAGCATGATATTAATACAATTATAAGGAAAACCTGTTGGTCAATTGTATGTCTTTTCAGTACATGATTTGCCTATTAACGGTCTCAGTCTCAGAGATGATGATTCATTCAATAAATGAAAGACTTTTCGGTGTTAAGCCAACGTGCTTTGAATGCCAAATGAGGGCTTCGTCTCTAATGAGACTGGTCCCTCAGAAGGAAGAGTGCCCGCGGGTCTAGGAGTCTTCGTATTCATCATCGGAACCTGTCCTTTTGTACTCTGGAGCTGAGCTCCAGACACGGCTTTGTCTGTTGGAGCTTAAGCTTTTCATGCTTCATTATGTTGGACTGAATGAATCTTGGGTCTGGGTCTTACTGGTTCTAGCTCTCGTTCCTGGTCCTTTATCTCCTGGCCAGGGCCCGACTGCCCCTTTGTTTTCCATCGCCCACCACCTGACATTGAGTTATTACATCCAGACAGGCTCTGGTCATAAAAGCCCTAGTCCAATCAGGCCCTATTCCATAGCAAGTGAGAGGGCCTAAGCCTAAACACCTTTTACGCCTCATTATCAGACCCGAGAGACAATAAAGCAAACGTTTAATTGGAATTATGTTTAAAAATAAACGCCTTTCGGTGGAAAAGTTAAAAGTCTTAAGCTCTTTTATTGGCATTATCGCTACAGCTATTTCCGCTGTTAACTCGAAGATCACGAGCCATTCAAATGCCGATCAAAACCTCAAAAAAAAAAAAAAACAAACCGATTCCAATAATTAGAAATCAAAGCCGGTTTCATCTAAATTTGTGGGACAGTGCGTTTCAATATTATAGGGTTTTTCTTCAAAAGATAATAAATATAAAGACTTTCAAAATAAGGTTTAAAATCTAAAGTTTAAAATCTTTAAAAGTAATACTTATTTTTTTAACCTTTTTATACCCTTGCAGAGGGTATTATAATTTTGTCCAAAAGTGTGCAACGCAGTGAAGGAGACATCTTTGACCCTATAAAGTATATATATTCTTGATCAGGATCACCTCCTGAGTTGATATGAGCATGTCCGTCTGTCCGTCTGTCCGTCTGTCCGTCTGTCTGTCCGTCTGTCTGTCCGTCTGTCTGTCCGTTTCTACGCGAACTAGTTTCTCAGTTTTGAAGCTATCGTCTTGAAACTTTGCACACACCCTTCTTTCCTTTGCACGCAGTAT